CAGGAATGTGAAGCTGCCACTGTTTTTCGTATATCATGATGACACTGGTGTTAGAGGATTGTTATTGACTTGGTTAGATATTTTAAGCCTATTTTACATTTCTTTATATTTGATCTTGAAAACGGACAATCTTATAATTTGGCTGATAATGCAGGGATTATAAAATTTAGAGTACATTACATTCACAGAGAGAACTTGGTTTATTTCATGTCATATGTATTTAATATATCAATATTTATCAGTATCAGCAAAGCTTAACATCATGAACCATGACAGACATGACTGAAGAGCAGATGAAGATATCATGCCAGGCACTGATGAGAAAATATTACAAGGATCTCACAGCTGAATTTGAGAATGAGGTGCTACACCTGAGAACAATATATGGTGCCACATTTCCACACATTCAGTCTCCTCTTGAGCTGCTTAATGCCATCTACAGGATGCAATTACAGAGCATTTTTGGAGAAGTTTGTATTGGACTGAGGATATTTTGCACACTACCTGTGACTGTTGCTGGGGGTGAACGGGCTTTTAGCAAACTGAAACTGGTGAAAAATTATTTGAGATCAACAATGTCCCAGGATAGACTGAACAGCCTAGCTCTTCTTTCTATTGAAAGCCAATTAGCCAAAGAATTGGACTTTAAAGATCTCATAAGTGATTTTGCTAACATGAAGACCCGTCAGTGGGCATTTACTGGAAAATAAATTCCAGGATTTTTGTTTGAACACATTGTTGGCAAATAAAAATAATTATATGTCAAGTCTGGGCATTTCACTTTTATTATGCTGGCATTTGTATTTGCTCAATATAGAGGTTAAACTAAGATCATATTTATTATCTTGTCTTATAGCATGACAAAAAAATGTGTAAGAGAGATATTAAGTAATTGAGCATGGGGGCCCACCTAGAAGACTTGTACCTAGGGCCCAGAATTTGGTGCTACGCCCCTGGTCCAGACTAAAAAGGTAGCAAACAACTAGAAGTACTTATCTCTGAGGTAGAAAAAAAATATTTTTCAGGTCCAATATGTCTGTGGTGTTAGCGGAAGATATTAGCCTAGTCATCTACCCTGAATCTTGTTTCTGGATGACTGGACTAACCTAAAATGACCAATACTGGAACAACAAAATGCAGTTTAACATCCAACTATGTGAAATAAGCAGTAAAGTGTAATGTGGTGTGTACAGTAAGTATAATACATAGAATATGAAAGATATAAAAGAGCTAAGGTTTGAAAAGCAGGCCTAATTTATTGAATAAACAGTCAATATAAACTGTAACAATCTTTCTAAATATGTCTTTGTGTTCTTTATAGGCAGGAGTGAGTGATGTCAGGAAGACGGTGCAAATTCAAAACTTTTCAAAACTGGCTTTTTGCTAGCCCCAAGACTCTCTGCCTGTGTGTTGGGGTTTACCCCGGTGGACGAGAGGGTAGCTTCCCTGTGCCTTCGGGTCGGGGAACGGGTCCTGACTGTAGTTTGCGCTTATGGGCTAAATATGAGTTCAGAGTACCCACCCTTTTTGGAGTCCCTGGGATGAGTGCAAGATAGTGCTCCATCAGGGGACCCCATTGTCCTGCTGGGGGACTTCAATGCTCACGTGGGCAATGACAGCATGACCTGGAGGGGTTTGATTGGGAGGAACGCCCCGCCTGATCTGAACTCGAGTGGTGTTTCATTATTGGACTTCTGTGCAAGCCGCAGTTTAGCCATAACGAACACCATGTTTGAACATAAGGATGCCCATCAGTACACTTGGTACCAGGATAGCCTAGGTTGCAGGTCGATGATAGACTTTGTAGTCTTATCATCTGACCTACGGCCGTATGTTTTGGACACCCGAGTGAAGAGAGGAGCAGAGCTGTCAACTGATCACCACCTGGTGGTTAGTTGAAACAGATGGCAGGGGAAGATGCTGCGTAGACCTGGCAGACCCAAATGCATAGTGATGGTCTGCTGGGAACGCCTGGCAGAAGAACCTGTCAAGACGGTCTTCAACTCCCACCTCCGGCAGAGCTTTGACCGCGTCCCGAGAGTAGTGGGGGACATTGACCCCGAGCGGGCTTTGTTCCACTCTGCGATTGTTGAGGCGGCTGTTGCTAGCTGTGGTCGCAAGGTGACCGGTGCCAGTCGTGGTGGCAACCCCTGCACCCGCTGGTGGACACAAGAGGTTCAGGGAGCCGTCAGGCTGAAGAAGGAGGCCTACAAGGCGTGGCTGGTCTGTGGGTCTCCAGAGGCAGCAGACAGGTACCGGATATCCAAGCGGGGTGCAGCAGTGGCAGTTGCCAAGGCAAAATCTCGGGCCTGGGAGGAGTTTGGTGAGGCCATGGAGAAAAACTATCGATCGGCTTCAAAGAGGTTCTGGCAAACTGTCCGGCGCCTCAGGAGAGGAAGGCAGCAACTCACTCACACTGTTTACAGTGGGGATGGGGAGCTGCCGACGTCAACTGGGGCTATCGTCGGACGGTGGAAGGAATACTTTGAGGAGCTCCTCAATCCCACCTATGCGCATTCCGAGGAGGAACCAGAGCCAGGAGACCTGGGGATGGACTGTCCAATCTCGGGGGCAGAAGATGCTGAGGTAGTCAAACAACTACACAGCGGCAGAGCCCCAGGGGTGGATGAGATTCGTCCTGGGTATCTCAAGGCTATGGATGTTGTAGGGCTGTCGTGGTTGACACGTCTCTGCAACATTGCATGGTCATCAGGAGCAGTTCCTGTGGAGTGGAAGACCGGGGTGGTGGTCCCCATCTTTTAGAAGGGTGACCAGAGGGTGTGTTCCAACTATAGGGGGATCACACTCCTCAGCCTCCCTGGAAAAATACTGGAGAGGAGGGTTCGATCGATAGTTGAATCTCAGATTGAGGAGGAGCAATGTGGTTTTCGTCCTGGCCGTGGAACTGCAGACCAAGTCTATACCCTTGCAAGGGTGATGGAGGGGGCATGGGAGTTTGCCCAACCAATCCACTTGTTTTGTGGATTTGGAGAAGGCTTATGACCGTGTCCCCAGGGGCACTCTGTGGGGGACGCTCCAGGAGTATGGGGTGGGTGGCTTTCTGTTAAGGAGCAGCGTGAGTTAGGTCCGCATAGCTGTTAGTAAGTCGGACCTGTTCCCGGTGAGGGTTGGACTCCGCCAGGGCTGCCCTTTGTCACCGGTTCTGTTCATTACCTTTATGGACAGAATTTCTAGGCGCAGCCGTGGTGTGGAGTGTGTCGAGTTTGGTGGCAGGAGAATCTCGTCTCTGCTTTTTGCAGATGATGTGGTCCTCCTAGCTTCATCCAGCTCTGACCTTCAGCTCTTGCTGGGTAGGTTCGCGGCCGAGTGTGAAGCGGCTGGGATGAGGATCAGCACCTCCAAATCTGAGACCATGGTTCTCGACCGGAAAAGGGTGGCTTGCCAACTCCGGGTCGGGAGAGAGGACCTACCTCAAGTGGAGGAGTTTAAGTATCTCAGGGTCTTGTTCACAAGTGAGGGTAGGAGGGATCGGGAGATCGACAGGCGGATTGGTTCGGCGACTGCAGTGCTGCGGACGTTGAGCCGATCTGTCGTGGTGAAGAGGGAGCTGAGCCAGAAAGCCAGGCTCTCGATTTACCGGTCGATCTATGTCCCAATCCTCACCTATGGTCATGAGCTTTGGGTAATGAAGTGGCCGAAATGAGTTTCCTCTGTAGGGTGGCCGGCCTCAGCCTTAGAGATAGGGTGAGGAGCTTGGACATTTGGGAGGGACTCTGAGTAGAACCGCTGCTCCTCCGGATCGAAAGGAGTCAGTTGAGTTGGTTTGGGCATCTGGTCAGGATGCCTCCTGGACGCCTCCCTGGGGAGGTGTTTCGGGCATGTCCTGCCGGCAGGAGGCCCCCGGGTCGACCCAGGACACGTTGGAGAGGTTGCATCTCCAATCTGGTCCGGGAATGCCTTGGGGTCCTGGTGGAGGTGGCCGGGGAGAGGACGGTCTGGAGCTCCCTAGTTGGGATGCTGCCTCTGCGACCCAGACCTGGATAAGCGGAGGAAGACGACGACGATTTCAGTCAGCACAGTGAATTAACCTGGTTCAGTTGCTGAGCAGAACAAAAATATGACATGGAGATGACTTGATGATGCCACAATGTCACACCTATGGTATGAACTAAAGTAGAGAATAACTTCTGTTTTAGTTGTGTTGAATTGTAAGTAGAAGAAAGTAGGTGGGATTGTGAAAGACAAAAATCTTTCCACAACTATATTGTCAAATTTATGGTGTAGGTAGGTACAATATCATATCTGTTTCTAAATATATCGGGATATCGGCAAACCGTAGTTATGATAACTTGACTTGTACACTGAAAAAGTCTTGAAATTGTCCTGGAAAAGTCCTGGAAAATAATTTCAAGAAAAGAGTGGGAACCCTGCGTTTTGTGCAAGCTTTATAAATGAAGCCCCTGGATCTTGAATAAATAACCATCAATACTAGTCTAAAGCAGTCAGGAGGGGAGAGACATTAGTAAATAGTTTGGTAATTTTTTAATAAAGAAAGAAAATGTATATGTTTGGGTCATTATAATTAAAAATCTCGATCTTTATTTGAGACAAAAATAGCATAAGGGGATCATTAGACAGTGTGAGGTGTGTATGCTACACAGCAACAAAACTTAGCACAACAATGGTGGTGATGTTGAATTTTCTCAGTTTTATGGCTTTCAGTTAAACTCTGAACCAGGAAATGGCTGCAGGCAGCGAGGCTGCTGCCAGACAGCTCAGGAACAACCAGTGATTTCGCCCTGTGGCCAGGCAGTAGCTGACAGTACTTGTGCTGGCCCGGATAAGCATGCTAGCCTAGGATCCACAAAGAAGCAGGGACTTAAAGGGAAAGAGGGAAAATATTGAACTGTGCAGTTGGAAAAGGCAGCCAGACCGAACCAAACCCGCGAGTCACGCTGCAAAGTGTCGTTGGATAAAGCCTAGAGGTAGAGATTGATTTTTACTACTTGTATTTTTCTCCCTATCTCTTCTTTCTTCAGATGGATCAGCTGTCAGACGACGAGGTGGAGGTAAGGGGCGAGGAAGTTGCGGAGGAAGACAGTGATAAGGAGGACCAGGACCTGGATAAGATGTTTGGAGCTTGGCTGGGAGAGCTCAACAAACTCACTCAGGTGCAGCACTAGATCAAATGCGTTTCTTGAGGACCAACGTTACCGTATGAACTAATTACAGCACTATAAAAGCATTTTTGTTCTTTCTAGAGTCTGGACGATGGTCGCACAGAATGCCCTCAACAGAATCGAGCCCCCCTCAGAAGAGAGACCAACATGGCCAACTTCTACAGGTTCTCCATCTACAATATTAATGGTTAGAAACACATATTATGGCGTTTATGTTACACACCTTTAACATGTACACAGGACATTTAATATCCATAGACTGGAATTCTAAGGTTTTGTTTCAAAATGGGAGTATGCTGGTGAAGGTTCTCTGTCATCCAGGCCATGGTTACCTGGATGGCGGGGAGCTTTCTTCAGCTGAATGAAGTTAAGACTGAGATCCTCATCTGTGCCCCAGACAAGCTGGTTCCCAAAGTCAGAGACTCTCTTGGTCAGCTTGCTTCTCACACCAAACCTTCCGTCAGGAATCTTGGCGTGACCTTTGACCCAGCTGTCACCCTGGATTCTCATGTCAGTTCTCTTGTTCGCTCTTCCTTCTCAGGAACGTTGCTAAGCTGAGTCCCATTCTGTCCCGCTCTGAACTTGAGACTGTTCTCCACACCTTCATCTCCTCACACTTAGACTACAGTAACTCTCTTTTCACGTGTCTGAGCAGAACCTCCCTGAACCGTCTACAGGTGGTTCAGAATGCCTGTGCTCGGCTTCTGACCAAGTCCTCCAAATACACCCACATCACCCCACTTCTCCTCCAGCTTCACTGGCTGCCAGTCAACTTCAGGGCTCATTTCAAGATCCTGGTTCTGGTCTATAGGGCCTTACATGGACAAGCACCATCTTACATTGGTGATCTTCTTAGTCCCTACACCCCCAGCAGGTCCCTGAGGTCCAGTGATCAAAGCCTACTGGTTGTGCAACACCAGGCTAAAGACCAAAGGTGACAGATCATTTGCTGCTGTGACCCCCAGACTCTGGACCTCTCTCCCCCTGAGCCTGAGATCAGTGGACTCAGTGGTCTCCTTTAAACTCACCTGTTTAGGTTTGGTGGGACCTTCATCACCTCCCTCTCCTTGTTCTGCTCTCCTTTTCATTCCACCTTCCTCAGGATCCACAGATTACCCTCTCTCCATATAATAATCTGTTAGTCTTTTATGCGGTGTCCTCTTTTATCTTTTAAAATAGGAACTTCATTGAGCCTTCCAAGTATTTCTTGCACGGTTGTTTTTGTTTAATGGACAGCATTTTCTTCTTTTTTGCTTTTGTTGTGAATCCGATGTGCTGCTGACACCAAAACGTCCCCACTGATGTACAATAAAGTATTTTCTGTTCTATTCAATTCTGTTCTATTCTCTCACTTGGTGCATGTTGTGGGCCAATTTTTGTTCCAGTTTGCCCCTGGAGACAACTACATATGTCTTGTCTGAGCTCTCTCTCCCTCTCTCTATATCTCTGTGTGTGTGTGTGTGCGTGTGCGTGTGTGTGTGTGTGTGTGTGTGTGTGTGTGTGTGTGTGTGTGTGTGTGTGTGTGTGTGTGTGTGTGTGTGTGTGTGCAGAGGCTCTGAATCAGGGAGAGAATGTGGACCTGGATTCGTTGATGGCTGATTTGTCCTCCATTGAGCAGGAGCTCAGCACCATCAGCACTAATTCTAGCAGCATGACTCAATTAGGACCAACTGACTCCAAGGTACACACACACACACACACACGCACGCACACACACACACACACACACACACACACACACACACACACACACGCACTTTTTTTCCACTGTGTTTTTCATTTTCTAATTATAGAACATAACAATATAAAGACATCTGCCACATAAAGTGACCATCGAAAGAAAATAATAATAATAGTATAAAATAAATATAAAAATTGAATAAAAATACTACAAGCCACACCTAAGGGTTAAACAAATCAGCAGTCTATCCTATTGCTTAAGAAAATCAATCAGGGGCGCCCACATTTCTTCAAATTCTCGTTCTTTGCCTCTCATTATATAAGTGAGTCTTTCCAATTTAACACAGTGTGCCATCTCTTTAATCCATATTGGTATAGAGGATATCTCTGTGTTTTTCCAAGCAAGAGCAATTGTCCTTCTGGCTTGCAGGAGGCCAAAGTCGATCAAAGTCTTTAGTTTAGAGGTGGCACAAAAATTCTCCGGGTATATACCCAAAACACAGAGTTTTGCTTGACGAGGAACCTGAATACCTACAATTCTAGATAGGGTACATACAATCGTGTTCCAAAAGGACATTAGTTTAGGACACTCCCACATACAATGAAACAAATTACCTTTCTCAATCATACACTTCACACATGTGTCTGGAATGTCAGGGGACCACCGATTCAGCATTTCCGGTGTGATATATGTCCTCATTAGCCACTTGTATTGCAATAGTTTATTCCTTGTGTTAATAGTCTGTGTCTGAGCTCTTAAGCAAGCTGTGATCCACTCAGATTCATTAATATTATCTGGTATATCCGATCTCCATGCTGACAGTTTATCATTGCTGGATTCTTTGTCATGTGACAGTAACGCTGCGTACAATATGGAGATTTGCCGTCTACCATGTAAATGTTTAAGCACAATGTTTTCCAGGCATGATGAAGGTGGTTCATTTTCTATACAAGTGTGGTTTGGAGAAATAAAGTGTTTTAATTGCAGGTATTTAAAAAACTGTGTTTTGGGAAGTGAGTATTTTAAACATAGATCAGTAAACAGTAATAAGTTGCCTTGGTTGTATAAATCCCCCACTTTTTGCACTCCTCTAACAGCCCAGATTTTAAAACCACCATCTGCCCTGCCCGGGGCAAACTGCGTGTTGCCCCAGACAAGAGAGAATTGAGAGATCACGGGTGTGTCACAGATGTGCTGGTGTGCCTTGAACGAAATGTCAATTGTATTTTTAAGGAAATGGTTCGTTGTGTTTTTCTTTAGAGTCTTTGGGTCCGCTGAATATATACACAGGTTCAATGGCAGCTTAGGTACTGACTCCTGCTCAATAGATATCCATGCTGGAGGGGATTGAAACGCAAAATAAAACATGGCAGAACGCAACTGAGCAGACCAATAGTGCCATTGTAGATTAGGCAACTGTAAACCCCCTCTCTCATATGGAAGGTACTTCGGCCTCAGTCTGGATTTTCTATTATTCCAGATGAATCCACTGAATATAGTATTGATTTCTTTAAAGAATAACCTCGATAATGGGAGGGGCAATGATTGAAACAAGTATATAAACTTTGGTCAGATGTTCATTTTAAGTATGTTAATCTGACCAATCAATGATATGGGCATTGCTGTCCAGTTATCCAGCGCTTCTATAGTTTTTTTCATCAGGGGGTCATAGTTAGCCTTAACTACTGTATTGATCTGGGGTGTGATCATAATCCCAAGATATGTAAATCCCTCTTCTGCATTTGAAAACTGTGTTTTTACTGTTGGATTAGCACGTTCATCTTTATTTAAGAAAAGTATAGTGGATTTTGAGTTGTTAATATTATATCCAGAGAACTGTCCAAACTTGTCAATTAATTTTAATAAAGCTGGAATACTGACAGACAAATTTGACAGAAAGAGAATCACATCATCCGCATATAATGATATTCTATGTTCATTGTCCCCAATAGTAATCCCTGAGATGTCTGTCTGGATTCTTATTGACATGGCAAGAGGTTCTGTTGCTAGTATAAACAACAGTGGAGATAAAGGGCATCCTTGACGGGTCGGTCTTTCTAGTGAAATATAATCAGACAGAATATAATTTGTTCGGATTTGGGTAGTAGGCTTTGAGTACAACAGTTTAATCCATTTAAGATATTGTTTTCCAAATCCGAACCTTGGTAATACATTGAATAAGTATGGCCACTCTATTCAATCAAATGCTTGTGTTGTGTCTAGAGATAAGAGTGCCGCGTCCCTAGTGTCACCTTTTTCATGAATAATATTGAGGATCCTTCTAATGTTGTGGAACCCTTAGCGGCCTTGTACAAAACCGTTTTGATCACTATGCACTAAGCCTGCAATAAATGGATCTAGTCTTCTAGCAAGAATCTTGCATAAGATTTTTTTTATCACATCCCATGAGACTGATGGGCCTAAATGAGGAACATTTCGTGGATATCTTCCCTGATTTCAAAATGAGTGTTATCGTGGCAAGTCTTAAGGTTGGTGGCAATTTATCTTTACAGAAGGACTCATTATACATGGTCAGAAGTGGTGTTGATAGCTGTTTTTGAAAAGTTTTATAAAATTCAATTGGTAGGCCATCCGGGCCTGGAGCTTTACCTGAATTAATACTATTGATGGCCTGAGATAGATCCTCTGTTGTAATATCATCATCTAGCTTCATTTTTGCATCATCCAAGAGTGTTTGAAAATTAAGTTAGTCTAAAAACGCATCTCTATAAGCAGAGTTAGAGGGACATTCTGACTTATATAACGATTGATAATACTCTTTAAATGTACTGTTGATTTCTTTAGGATCTGTAGTAAGTTCACCTGTTTGTGTGGTCATGCTAATAATTGCTCTTTCAGATTGAATTTTTTTATTGTCCACGCTAGTAATTTACTTGCTTTTTCGCCCTGATCATAAAAAGACTGTTTGAGCCACAACAGGCTTTTTGCTGCTTTATCCGTTGTTAATTTATTATATTCCGTTCTTAAAAGGATTAACCATTTATGTTTTGTAACATCCTCCTTTTGATTCAATTCAGTTTCTAAAGATTTTATCTGTTTCTCTAACTTCTTGATTTCAACAGTTTGTGTTTTATTTTTGGTACCTACATAGCTAATTGTTTCCCCCGGTGTATGCTTTAAAAGCTTCCTACCTTACACATGCATTAGTTTGGTCTGTATTTATTTCAAAATAAGCATCAATTTTACTTTCCACAAATTTAACAAACTCAGTATTTTGTAACCATTGTACTTGGAAACGCCAATTTAGGCCTGGGCGGTATATCATGGTATTTTTTAAAATTAAATCGGTTTTACGGTATTTGACGTTTTTTTTCTCAAGGCCGTGATTACCCAGATTATTTCTATGGAAAATAATTGCTGCACTAGATTGGCCTTAAATAGCCCATTTTACCTTCATGTGCAGAACCAGTTTTTCCATGTCCAGTCACAGGTAGGTAAATGCACAACCCCCCGCAAAGTATCCTTGTCAAAAGAAAGCAGTTAAGAAAAAAACACTAGAAAGATAAAATATTGCAGTCAAAATAAACTATTTTTATTGAACACATTTTGCATATAATCTGTGCAGTTAATCATCTTTATGATTTCACATCCAACGTTATTGCGTTGGTTATCTCGACCACCGCTTGCTTTTTTTTAATAAACAGTCCCTTTAGCAAACGCGTCTTTAATGGACGCCTGATTCTGACTGCTACTAGCCGTTTTAACCTCGGAGGTGGATGGTGCAGATCGAAGCTTGAGACATTCTTGGTAATCCAAGACGTGTTTTCGGCTGAGGTGATGAAGCAAGTTGCTGGTGTTACCCCCGCCGGCTACCACCGTTGCTCGACAGCATTTGCATATAATAGTTGTTTACTCCACGTCCGACCTTTTAAACCCGAAATACCTCCAAACAACAGACGTGGCTCCTCTTTTTTGAATAAGTTCTTCTGCGTTCGAAGTTTCGATGATGCCATGACAGCTCCCGCCAGCCGCCATTCTTGGTTTCACCACGCTGTGGTGTTTGTGTGTAGCAGTGAAACGAGTCCCCGCTGAAACACTTTCCTACTACGAACTTTCTGTACGTTGTTTAGGCCATTCACCGGTATAGCGGTATGTGAAAAATTCATATCATAACCAAAATAAACACCCCGGTTTTTGGTATGAACCGGTATACCTCCCAAGACTACGCGAATTACTAGGTGAGTGTACAAGATTTTCGATATGAATATACAGTGAGATTGGGGTGTGGTCACTAATTACTATACAATCATAAAAACACCTTCTTATTTTTGACACCAATTCTTGTGACACAAGGAAATAGTCGATACATGATTTAGACTTATTGATGCCCGAATAACACGAGTATTCTAGTTTGGTGGGGTTTAGTCTTCTCCAGACATCTATTAAATTCAAATCTATTATATATTGCTTTAAACGTTTTCTGGATTTAGTTTTATACACATCTGTAGGGCTGCTCAATTAATCGAATTTTAATCACGATTACGATTTGAGTTTTGAACGATTATAAAAAACGAAACAAGCCGATTATTTGCTCCTCCCGCTTGCGCTGCCCTGAGTTGCAAATGAAGCGCTCCTCCCACAGTGTTGCCAACTTAGTGACTTTGACGCTATTTCTAGCAGCTTTTCAGACCCCCTTCTTGATTTTTTAACTTAAAAGTACCTAGCGAACACCTCAGAAACATCTCTGGTAACCCTTAGTTACTTTCTGGATAACTGTCGTTGACATTTCCTGCAGGTTAGCTTACACTCCATCTGCGCTCCGGACCGTTCTTCAGGACATTAGGAAAGGGAATGATGTAGTGATGTGTCAGTCGCTAAAGACAGCTCTCCGAGCCGGCTCCCTGTTGAATTAACCAGAGTGAGTGACACACACACCGCACCTGCGGGCTCCTGAGCCGCTAAAAACAGCTAAATGTGCGCGTGCGGCGCGCTAAACACATGTACAGCTTGCCCCGATTGCTGTGAGACCGGGTTGGGGGGTGGGGGGTGCAGCTGTGCTTGGGACAATTATTACATTAACTGATGGACTTGTAAATAAATAGTTTATAAATAAGGTAGAAATAACTTCCTTACGCTGATAAATAATAACTAATCTCTCTGAGGACACGGTGCTAGTGCACTCTCCTACAGCACCTTGACACGACTCAATAAATGTTATGCAACATTTTGTGAACATCAATTTATTTGCATGTATTTGTTATAAAGGCCACTGTATAATTCTTGCTGTCAGTATTTGCAAGATATTGGTATTTGGGTCTGTACTGGTTAGACTTAAATGAGTTAAACCAAGGTCTATAGCCCGTGGGTTATAGACTATGAGCTATAGGTATATTGGTCTTTTTATACTGGGAATCATGAGTTATTTTAGTGATCATCTTGTTTCTTATTTTTGTCCTGATTGTGCCCTGAGCAATTTTATGACTGAATAAAAACAGTTACAATCAACATAAATTGAAAAATCGTCCTAAATAATCGTGATCTCAATTTCAGTCACCATAATCGTGATTATTATTTTTGCCATAATCGAGCAGTCCTACACATCTGATTGCGTAGACCGATCTAGTAGAGGCTTTAGCTTACAATTGAAGTCTCCTCCAATAATAAATGTGCTTCATAGCAAAGACAAGGTTAAGAACAGATCCTCAAAAAATTTTGGGTCTTCTTCATTTGGGCCATACATGCTAACCAGATTCAATACGAGAGAAAGGATATTACCCTGTACAATCATATATCTCCTTTCAGGGTCTTGAATAGTATTAGAAACTTGGAAAGGTGTTGTCCCGTGAATAAGTATTAGTACCCCCTAGCATAGTTGTTGTATGTTGCGTGTATAATTTGGCCGGACCACCTGCACCATACTTTCTGAATCCCTGAGATCGTCATATGAATTTCTTGAAGAAAAACAATTTTACAGTGTAAGTCTTTAAGTCTGTTCATTACCTGTTTTAATTTAGTCAGCTTATTCAGTCCCCTGACATTCCAGCTTGTTAATTTTAATTCAGGCGTCCCTGATTTCTCCATAAAATTTCAAAGGCGACCATGCTAGGTGTGGCAAAAAAAATAAAACCCTAAAATAAAATTAACAGAACAGAACATGCAAACAGACATCCCTGAACTTTTGAACACCCTTTCTCCTTCCCTTATTCAACTAAGTGTGATGGGGGCAAATGCCAATCCACTCTACGGGGGAGTGGCTGAACTATGAGAGCCCTCCTCCACCAACTCTCACTCCCCCAACCTTGCATCATAAAAATAAAAGCTATGTAACATATCCCAGTCTTAATAAGATCAATGTTACAGAAGGCAATCGAGTAGTAAATGAAAAAACATAAAAGCATAACTTAAGTTGTCCATCAACGATGAGAATTGAGCATCAAGGCCGGCAATGTGAACGTAGCCTTAAACTCCTCCACTTGAGGCAGGACCGCATCACTGACCTGGAGAAGGCATTCTACCCTTTACCGAAATGAAGTAAAGTTGTGTAAATGTAAAATAAAATACAACAGCAACATTACCAATCTGCGACAGCACCATACATGCCTCCATTCTGGGTTAGATGAAGAGAAAAAGCTGGTGTATGTTCCTCCATGATTAACAAAACTTCAGCCTTTTGCATAAAATTATGACGGTACTTTGCTGCAAAGCTCAGGCATCACCAGGGAGCCCTTGGTCATGTATACGTGATCAGACTGTAGCGGTAATGTGGAGCGATCATGTGTTTTCACGAAGGTTATGCGATGGCTGTATAAGTGAGTGTGGGAGCCATCTCTGCGACTTCCCTTTAGCTTGAACACACACACACAACACACACACACAGCCTGAAGCGCAGAATACGGAATGCGGAATATCAGCAGGGGGACAGACTGAGACAGAACGTCATGCGTCTGTGACAGTGTGTGTGTCCTGTCACTGTGACCCGATTGATGATGCGCCCTGGCTACATGGACAAGGGAGATCTCTGTTTGGGTGACTGGTTAGCGCACATGACTTTTACCTGGGAGTCTGGGGATCGAATCCCGATTGGACCATTTTTTTTATATTCGTCACAGATCTCTCTGAAGAACTCACAACATTGACGGCTTCAGCAACGCTGTGCCACTCCGTGGATTTTCTCTTATTTATTTTGCAAAAGCACTCCTTTTCATTTCTCCACCTCACCCACAGGTACCTCAACTTCTGCTTGTGAAATAGCGCTGCTTCCTTGATCTGCCTTGATCTACGGTCGCCATGTCATTGGCGGAGCGCTGCAACAGCCGGCTTATGTATATGCATGAGATCCACAAGGCACTTTGCATTGACTATTTATGGCAGTAAGTGGGCGTGGTGAGGGCGGTGTGACTAAAAAGCAGCTGAGAACATTTCTAGATAGTTTCTGAGTTATGATGCAGAGATTGCATGCAGCTGTGCGTACTCCATGTTTGATAGATCACAAACCTACTTGGCATAAGTAAATTTTTTAGCTGAGCTTAAGTACGGTTTTAGTAACGATTCAACTTCATGTTTGATAAATAAGACCCCTGGACTGTAGGACGTCCAAACTAAGTCTTTGCACAGTGGAAACGCCCCCTAGGTTTTTCAAGAGCCTCTCCAAAAGGGGGTTATCCTTCACAGTCCGACGCGAGCTGTCTGATAATCTGGGCTGCAGATTTACTTCCACTTCTGTTGGAGTGGAGATCCTGAGGCTTCTGGAACAGAAGCCTCAGGATCTGTGCATCACTCCAGTTTGCGACTCTCAGCTGATTCTGTTTACAAAAGCAAAACTGACTGCCTGCTTTTATTTTTTTTATCCATTTTTGTTATTCACGTGTATCCTGCAGATTTCATGGAAAAGCACGTCGGGTGCAGGTTCAGTCTCACATGAATAATAGTGAAAGGTATTTCGTAACTTAAAGCTTCTTTCCAGAGTATTTCTCTTATCCGAAGGCACCATCTAGTGGCTGACAAGCATATCACACAAAAGTCTGTTGCTCTGTTTGTTTAAGATGGCGACTTCACATTTCTGTTTATAAATGTGCTTCTGTAGCCGACAAACAGCTAAAACACGTTGTTTTACGAGTATTATTCTCATGTCATGTTGTGTTCTCATATATTTATATTTTTGAGACTTTCTTGTCTGTGAAAAGTTCATCAACTCTGCATCAGCCGAGGTATTCCTTAAATCTGAAGAATCTAAGCGGCACTCTAACGCTATTGGTTAGTTCTGGTCGGTGCTCAGTTTCCTATTGCACGGAGCTCTGCGGGTTGGGGGCGTGGTTAGCAAAAAAAAACAAGACGTATTGCACACTAATGTAAACAACACATGATGAGATAATCAATTTTACAGATTTCTGACAAATCGTACATCATTTCTGAAAAAGCAAAACTGCGGAAAGATACTTTAAACTAATGTGTGCTGAATTTATTTGAAAGAATAAAAACGTTATGATGGGAAAAAATGCATCAAAACTAGTGGTGACTGTGATAATCATGATAATCGTTTCATAATCTATCCGAAGGACCCTGAATAAAAATCCAATAGAATGGAGAGGTAGCTAAGGTGTCACACCCCTACTGAGTGGTGCAGCTTGACAATGCCGATAAGTTCACCAGGAACCAAAGAACTCTAGAGTTCAACATGACACCGGCTGCCTGAATAAATGAAACTAAATCCAGATGACAAACAGCAGATTGCTTGGGTAAAACCTAAGATGCAGTTGTGTGTTCTTGTTGTTTTTACTATTTAATGTGCTTGAAGGTCAGCCAGAAGTCTCCAGCTGGGTGCAGCAGCAGGACACAGGCAGTAAAGGGCTCTGATGGAGGTGGAGGCACTAGCAGGTCCAGTAGCATCAGCAGCACCAGAGCATCTCCGGCTGGTACCATCAGAACCCCTAGTGGACAACAGGGAAGGCACCCGCTGGCTTCTAACTGCAGCCTGGATGACATCACTGCTCAGCTAGAGAAGGTCAGCAAACAGGGTCAGAGGTTGCATCAGAGACCAGAGAATGCTGCTGTTGTGTCCTTGGGCAAGACCCTTTACCCACCTTGCCTGCTCGCCTCTGTCAGTTCGCCCCAGGCAGCTGTGGCTACATCGTAGCCCTTTCCCACCAGTGTGTGAATGTGTGTGTGAATGGGTGAATGACTGACTGGGTTATGAAACGCCTTGGGGGGTTGTAAATGGAGCTATACAAATCTGAGCCTCTTACCATCAGGGGTTACTAGCCTGGAAAAGCAGGACTTCTGATACTGTCCCAGTGGTCAAAGTTTGGATCTTAATATTCATGACCATCGCACAATGTGGTGAAACCGCTTCTGTCTGAACTTTATGTTTTTGCTCATTTCCTTTTCAGGCCTCTCTTAGTATGGACAAAGCTGCTCGTCAGCGCCCCTCCCACTCTCTTAGCTCCACCTCCTCTTTCACATCAGCCTCAGTGCGACAGCCAGGATCGTCTCAGCGCCAACACAGACGCACTGGATCGGTGGGCACGGTCAGCGAACATGAGGTAATCAGATTCTGAATGTTATCTACCCCGAGGGGCAATTGTGAAGAAGAAGAAATTATTTTTGTATAGTGCCTCTCAAGAATAAAACAATACAATAACATATATATAATTATCAGATTTTATAGCAGACAGATGTAAAACGTTTCCTGAATTTAGCAACCATACTAAACTCACTAAGCAGCTCCATATTCTCTCCTTTTGCACCTGGATGATGCTTTCCTCAAGCACTGGAAGGCTCCAATAGAGATGTCTGCTTCACATTAGCAGTGTCATGTTCTGTGTCCCTCTGTCCCCAGTCTCCTCCTGTTCTCACTCCAGGTTTTCCTCTTGTGTCCCATTGTGTTCCCCAGCCCACTCCAGGTTTCCCTGTAGTGTTTTCAGATTTAGAAATCCCATCCCTGTTTTTCTTATGGTTGTCTTGTTTTCAGGTTTTAGGAGTTCACTTATCTGTAGTTTCTCTGTAGATTTATTTTACCTAGTCAGTTTTCCCCACTCAGCTAATTAGTCTTACCTGATCCCTTCACCTCTCACTCCCCACGCACCTGCTTCCTGTTTCCCTGATTTCTCCCTTTGTGTATATAACCCTGTCTGTGTCTCAATGTTGTGTTGATTCATTGTAATTGTCAGCGTGTTCTGTCCTCCTCTAGTTACCCTAGTTTGTGCTCATGCGTGAGCTTCTGTTTGTTTGTTCGTTCTGTGAGTTTGATATTAAGTCGAGTTTGTTTTGTGCCTCTGGACTTTGGCGCATCCGCCTTTAAAATAAAGGACGTATTCTCTCAAACCTCTCCTGCCTTGTTTCGTTCAGGGGATTCTGCATCTTGGGTCCTAACCTCCTGCTCTCACCGTGACGAGCAGCACCTCTCCTCCTCCGACCCCCTCATCAGGATTCTTTCAACATTTGTTTATAGATTTTTCTAATGATTTGTAGGTGGTTGCTTTTAATAAACTGTCAATAGAATATAAAGGTATTCAGTAAAATGTAATATATCTATATTATTGAACCTTTAATATTCCATTGATGATGAAACTAGGTGTTTGTCAGGGAAACAGCACTTTATGATAATTTGACACATAAAAAACAGTTTATAAAAATCTAATTACTTCTATATTTCTACTACTAATAATGATGCAGGACACATGATTATAAATGATGATTAAAGGGGGTATCAACGGAGACAAGGAATAAACTCTGATAAAACTCGATCTTAGATGTTATTAAGAACCTATTTAAATGTCTTAGTTAAGAATGTGATGTCTGGGTTTATGAGTTGTCAAGCTGAATTTTATTTAGATATCAAATTTATCTTAACCCATCCAACGCCAGTGCAGATTCATGGTACCCATGTGTATGGAGGCTTCTCAGCGATACGGCTGACCATGAAGTCTTCTCGACAAGCGAGGAATTTGACTTCTGGATATCAGAGGTCGTATTCCTCTGAATCCACATCAGCTGGTCAGGATGCCTCCTGGACGCCTCCCTGGTGAGGTTTTATGGGCACGTCCAACCGGGAGGAGACCTAAAAGTCGCTTTGGACAAAAGCGTCTGCTAAATACATAAACATAAAGGTAGACCCAGGACACGCTGGAGGGACTATGTCTCTCACCTGGCCAGGGAATGCCTTGGGATTCCCCCGGAGGAGCCGGCCCAAGTGGCTGGGGAGAGGGAAGTCTGAGCCTCTCGACTTAGGCTACTGCCCCCGCGACCCGACTCCGGATAAGTGGATGAAAATGGATGGATGGATGGATGGCTATTTCATCTTGAGGCGACCAGCCCCGCCGGGGACCCAACAGAGCCCAGGGACTCATATCCCACCAGGCAGCCACTGGGATTAATCAGGCAGACGCTAAAAATCTTAAACCCCCTAACCCTAACACTCAGGCAGACCAACGCACCGCACTCCACACCAAGTCTGACAGAGGGAGGGTAGGCGAAGATGTGTAGCAGCACAAGAAGTCCCAGGAGAGGGAAGGAGTCCAAGACCCACCTGACATATAAAGTCATACACAAACACAGTGATACACTCCCTCCCTCATGTTCACACATACACATACAACCAAAGACTTACAAAAATGCATGCCGGACACCCACTCATGCTCCCCATACACGCCCTATTCACTCTGGTCCCAGTACTGCTGCACAAAGGGTACAACCATCACCGGTTCCCAGAGTTTGCCCCTTTCTGCTGTGGTGATGAGGAGCAGGCAACCCCCGCCCAACGCCTAGCAAAGCATCCCACCACCCCAGACCCCAACCAGATGGCCAGATCCCCCTCCTAGCCTCCAGCCCTGGGAAGCCAAGCGACAACAGAGGTGTGCTAAGACCCCTAGTCTCCCTCTGCCTGCTCCAATACAGTGTTAGTGCGTGTTGATGAGGTGTATTCCATGGCTGTGGTGAGCGGGCAGTGCAGGCATCGTCTGGCTTATGCCAGCTGATGTAACCACACAACGCCACTTCCCCCCACAGCCCTCTGTGTCTAAGTGCTGTTTAAAATTGGAAGTGGGCACCGGCACTCGGGATGAGGCTGACAGATCCCCTTACCAAATGCCGTTGAATGTGCTCACTCCCAAGGCCCTAAGTGTGTGTTTGTGTGGAATGTCGTTGGTGGAAGTGTTTAAGGTGCAAATTAAATTGGGGGCAGGCTGCCACAGGAATGCGAAAACGGGATCCATACCCGCACCCCTGACTTGCCCACCCCCCAAGGTCTTATGTGCATGATTGCGTGTCTGTTTGTTGCAACCACCAGGTACAAAAACTAACTTGTTTTTATGTGACTATTTTTCTGTCCTGCCTGTTTATTATCTTCCTGCATCTCCTCTCAATCCTAAAGAGAAACTGCTACCTGGCTTCATATATATTCACCTTATGAGTGACCTTTGAACTGCAGTTCTAAAAGATCTACCGACCGCAAAACAGCGGAGTGCTCGCCGGCCACATCAGTTAGGTGCGTCACCGGAGGACGAAACAGGTGATGCGCTCCACTCCGCAGCAGCGAAACGCATCAGGCACAAATAAAAGACAGAAAACATAAAAGGAAATGAGCCGACATGAATGATCGCGTTAAATTAGTTTTTGAGGTGGCGACACCTGATTTGATAATGTTACTGTGGCCGTGCTCAGGACGCAGATGTCTGGAGCGTGTCAACGATCAGAGCTTTGCATGCGTAAGCTGGTTAAGGTTAGGATGGGGTTGAGGGGAAGGTTAAATTGCAAGAGGGTAAAGGTCACAATTCGGTCAAATGTCTGTTTTACCACGGGCGTCAGATACCGACGCTCTGGTACAGCGCGTCGCCTCCCAACGCGCAGGGGCTCGTCACCTGCTGTCTTTTCGAAGGACTGCATCTTGTCGGTCATTATCACGTGACAGCGACTAGTCGATGACAGGCATAAAAGTCACTACAGAGCAGTGAAGTCGACTAGTTCATACAACCCCGTGTGTGTGTGTGTGTGTGTGTGTGTGTGTGTGTGTGTGTGTGTGTGTGTGTGTGCGTGTGTGTGCGTGCGTGCGTGCGTGCGTGCGTGCGTGCGTGCGTGCGTGTGTAAATGGCCTGTAATTAAATAGCACCTTCTAGGGCTCTACAACCCCCAAAGGTACTTTACTACACAATTGGTCATTCACATGCTGGTGGTGATGAGCTACTTTGCAGCCACACCAGCTGGCAAGGCGGCTTGAGTTCCTTGTTCAAGGGCACAATGGCTGCAAACCAGCAATCGTCCAGTTACAAATCGAGCACTTAACTCCTCTGCCACCATCACGCACGTGCTGCATCTGGGTTTCTTGCATCTTCTCACATGCTGTCTCTTTCTTTTCTCTCTAGGTGTGCTCTATCATCCACTCCACCAGAACTTCTGTCAGCTCTGCTTCTGGTGTTTCTGTTAACTCTGCCTGCTCCATGGACTCCCTAGACAGCGTCCTCCGCTCTTATGCTGATGGGCTGCAAACCTCAGGTCAAGGAGCCAATCAGACTCATCACAATACAGAGGTACAAACACATAATCAGCAGGTGTTTGTTTTCCTCCAGCAGCTAGAAGGTGTGAAGGAATTTGTTCTTACCTCCTTCTTCTAAAGCTCAACCAGTTTTCTCACAAAGACAAAAAATCATTCAACATGCCACCGAGCCTAGTTTAGTTTGGGTTTGTCTGCGCAGACACATGACAAGTTTTAAAGAGGACCGGGTCGCTTGGCTCCAAACAGTTACACAATAAGAGGTAAGACAGAATCATGGCATGCAGGTATAGCTGGGGAGCTTTTACAGGCGGACGCAGTTGAGGTTGGTTCTAATGATTCTGGACACTTTTCTGGTGTGAGACTCAAATTTAAGATGAGAATCCAACACAACACTACCTATCATAGATGTAATGTTCATCAAGAGGTGCTGTGAGTTGTTTAGCCACAACCTTTTCCAAGATTTTTCTTTCCGGCGCTCACAGGGAGCAGACGCTTCTGCCTTTTCCTCCCTTATCTGTGTTTTCCCAAGGCTCTTTTTGTCCCGTCTGCCTACAGAGCGTTTCTCTGCATTTCCTCTGCAATCACCTTTTTCAGCATTTTTCAACATGGACTTAATTAATTGGTCATTCAACGCGATTGATAAGATTTTTTTCTACAATGAGGACGGAGGAGGGGGCTCACGCTTGTCCTCAGGGGACACATGCAGCGGGATATATGTTCGATTCCTGGAAAAAGTGGAATGTCATCTGTCTCTCTCAGCTGTCCATTGAGGACGTCAAAGATATGTGGATATTTGGCCTGATGATCGTTGGATTTCTTCTGATTGGAGTGGGAGGATATCTGGCTTTCCGCAAAACTGGGATGACGGGAGCGATTGGAGGGCGACCCGCATCCATGGACGGCACCGTCCGTGTGGATACCTCACAGACTGGGACGTTGCTCGAGGTGAATCGCAAGCTGGACAATGTCTTAGCTGCGTTACCGGTGTTAGCGCGCAGGATTGATAACATCTCGGAAAGGGTCACCGGACGGTGTGGAGATGTTTAATCACTGAATTGGCTTCACTGGAGGACTTGAATGATCAATACAGACTTAAGGCAGAGAGGAAAAATTATCTCTGTCTAACCCAAACAAAGTTTCTGTTACCGAATCTGACGCCACAAGCAGCCTTGGAGTTGCGTGCAAAACCCCCACGCTGGAAGGAATGCTGACAAATGCTGTGAATCTCTATCCACCCACCCCCCCGCCTTCAGATTGTGGTCTCCACCGAGGTCATCAAGCTGGACTCACTGCTCTCTATGCTTCCTCATGACCTCCCTCCCACCTGCGGAGACAGCTGGTCGAGCGCCACACAGGCCGCCCCCGCTGAGCAAACCAGGATCCCAGCCCCTCCCCCCACCTACCGGGTCTCATGTTGTGGACTGTGACGTTTGTTGCTTACATGTCAGGTGTTTTTTTTGCATTGGAGCGCTACACCCTGCTGGTGTAACTCTGTTAATGCCTTTTTTCTCCATCCCTGAACTTCCCTCATGTATTCCCTTACTCATCTACAAAGGAGCGCCGTTATGGCTGCTCCCGTGGTCTGCCTGTATCTGTCTTGTCTATATGTGTGTGTGTGTAACCTTGGCCAGGTTGTACCATGGAGTCAAGTTCCTACGCTCTGAAAGGAGCGCTGGCAATAAAATTCTTCTGATTCTGATTCTGATTCTGATGTTGGAGATGAACGGAAGTTTAGAGATGGGTCTGAAGCTGCTATGGAGAGAGGGGTCAAGACTCGGTTTTTTAAGAAGCGGGTGGAGCGAGGGAGAGGGGGGGGGGGTGGGGTACTGCCAACCCGTTATTAAATAAATGGGGACAAAATGCTTAAACTTTGGAGGAAAATTGGTTCCAAACCTGAACCAGGTCTGTTTAACCAAGACTGCCCCGTATCCTTTACATATCTCTTTAATCACTCCATGCAGAGTCTTGCGTGGCCTAAATGTATTTCATATCAACTAGGTATGTAAGAAAATATCAATATGGCAATATATTGTGATATTGTTTCCTGCGATATTATGTAGATATTCAAAAGCCATGTATCTAATTTTTGGAAGAATTTACACGCAAACATTTTTGTATTTTCCTCTCTTTTGGTACAATTCAAACGGAGACTGCTAGTTGTTAGCAGTGTGCATTGGGTTTTGTTTCCACCATTGAAATGTAAATCCCTGTGTTATGGTTCAGTTACCTCATGGCAAACATGTTGTGTATCAGTTTGGACTAGATTGAATTTTCCTACAATAACTTCAGTCTAACAAAATTGCTAGTAACGTCTGACTGAATTGTCTCCCCTGTATCGTTATACCCATCGCATCGCCAAAATTTCACCAATACACATCCCTACTATCAACCGTACATTACCATCCATCACTACATCTGGGTATTCATTAAGAATAATGCATCCAAGCTTGATGTTTTTTCTTTGTTTTCTTTTGTTTTTCCACCGGGGCACAGTGAACGCTGGAGAACGACTGATACCATCATTTGGGAAATTAAATATTAATGTTTCTGCATACCCCCTGTAATGTGCTCATGGGCCACTAGGGGTGTGTGTACCCCTGGTGTGGAATCACTGACATAGATTGTCATCTTCAGCATACTTTTAGCACTGGACAGCTTCACAACTGTTGGGCAAGTCATTGATGTATAGAAAAAACAATAGTGAACCTGGGATGGAACCTTGTGGAACTCTTATTGTACAGTTTTTAATGCCATTAACTTTAGCACACTGTTCTATATGTTTTAGATATGATCTGAACCAGTTAATAGCTGTCTGTGAAAGTTTTAATTTGCTGAGTTTATGTAGGAGCCTCTCATGATTCTCTGTGTCAAAGACGTTATTTCTCATCTAAGAACACTGCTCCAATGACATTACAGTTGTCTGAGGATCTTTTAATATTTTTGGTGAGATAGGTGTTAGCCAGTTCAGTTGACTAACTGTAGCAAAATCCAAACTGTTCCAGATGAAGTAGCTGATCTTTGTCCAGGAAACCAGTTACCTGCTCTGCTGCTGATAATTCAATAACTTTGGATATGGCCGGTAAGATAGTGATGAGTCTGTAGTTACTAACTACCAGATTTCAGGATCGGGGTTATGAGTCCTTTTTTGAAGTTGTCTGGAAATTCCCCTTTAGTAAATGATAAGTTTATAAGGTGGGTTAAAGGGTTTGCTAGAGCAGTGATTCCCAATCAGGGGCACACGTACCACTAGTGGTCTGTGTGCACATTACAGGGGGTACACAGAAAAATTAACATTTCATCACCCAGATGATGACAGCATTTGCTGTACCATGGTGGAAATCATATTATCAACTATCTATTTGCATGAATTTTGTCAAGCTGCATCATCTTTGGACTAGAGGCTGCTGCAGCATAGAGCGCTGGCCTAAGCGCAGTGTGTGTGTGGATTAAGGAGTACTTGTAAAGAAGATGGAACAGCTTTGATTATATGGACCTTGTTTTGGAATTCAGGAGTTTAGTGTTGAACAGAAAAACCTCCTCAAGTCATTTTGTGGCCCATTCCTACCCAAATAAAAAATAAACCAGCTTTTATCAAGCGCCTCCCTGTCCTGCATGTCTCTGTGTTACGACTGGTGGTGCTATTGGTGAAGGATGCCGTAACAAAAGGCGTGGGGTCAGGATTTAAAATGAAAATGTTTTTATTACAAATAAATGATCAAACAAATTTAAGGTTACTAGGTCAATTAAATACCAGAACTAAGGCGACCTCCAAAGAGGGAAAAGACCAGGACTTAGCTCCACTATTGATCAGTTAGCTAAAGTGATAAACCGATAAACATAGTGGACTCTAACACTCTACTATTACCCTTTTCGTTAAAGTAGAAACTACTCAGAAGAAGTCCAAACCAGGCTGTTAAGGTAATGGTAACACAAAATGGTAATAATTACTACATCAAAGCTCCTTTGAGCATACAACCCAAAACACACCAGTTAATCTCCACTGAGCAAACACAACCAGCAGGTTTAGTTAAACAAACTTCCTACCTCTACTGAGCACTCTCTCCAAATGTTCCACAGACCTCTAACCAAAACTAAACTCAATGAAACAACACTAGAATCAAACTAGGTGTGTCTGAGTTTCAATTACTCTCAATGTATCAGCACTCATTCTCCACTCTGGATCTTCTTCTTCCATCCATCCATCCATCCGTCTTCTGAACCCGCTTTGTCCACGTAGGGTCGCGCGGGGGTGGGGGGGCCTATCTCCAGCAGTCAACGGGCAATTAGGTGGGATACACCCTGGACAGAGAGCCAGTCCATCGCAGGGCATGGATCTCCTTCTTCTTCTTCAATAATATAGGCAGGCTGGATGCCCATAAGACGTATTGTTGCCACACCAACCAACACACAAAATGACAACCTTGCCTGGGTCAGTCAACCATGATGATTCTGCTGAGCTAGAGACACACAGTTACACCCCCCCCCACCCCCCCACCCCCACCCATGCAAAAGTGCTGTTTTATGGCATCACTGCTGTTTGTGTTGGACATCACAGCTTTTTTTAGGACTGATGCTTCTGAAAGAGACAGTTATAGATGGGTAGCCCCACCAGATGAAATGGTTTCTCACATGTTCTTCCTACTGCTCCTCAACTCTCGACTCCCTCCGCTTGCCTTGTCAACATGGGGAGTCGAGCATTCAGCCGCTCTGCTCCCCACCTCTGGAATCCTCTTCCCCCCGATCTACGCACCACTCACTCACTCGCAAAACCCGCCTCTTCACACAGGCTTTTACCACAGTTTTAATTCATTGTTTTAAATTTTAGCATTCCAGTGTTTTTACATATTACTGTTTATCTTGTTTTATTATCTTATCCCCGTTGTTGTAAAGTGTCCTTGGGTGTCCTGAAAGGCGCTGCCAAATAAAATGTATTAGTATTATTATCTCTATTCAGATCCTGATGCTGTTCAGAGGTTCCAGTCTGATTTGTCTCAGTGATCATGAGCCCTCTTTCATCACACTCTTCTGTCCGTCATCAAAGCATCACATCAACTCATAGAAACTTTTTCTGTCTCTCTTTAAAGCACTCCTATCTGGACAACGAGACCTCTCTGATTCTAAGGAACATTGCAGGAAAACCTTCTCACCTGTTGACCAAGGTGACTTTCTTCATCTATCTCTGCACTCCCCACACCTCACATGTCAGTGTCCCATAGCTGTTTTATGCATTAGAAATAATGAATGTTGATGCTTATGGAGCATTTAAGCCACTTTCTCCTCATTCGGCTTTTGCAGTTGTGTGGATTTTAGGTGCTATTTTTTAAGACGTTATTGTGTGCATGTGCATGTAATGTGTGTTGTGCACACACATTACATGGGACACTGAGATCTTGTTCTAATCTTCAATGCAAAACTGCCCTCTAGTTTTCTGGTTCTCGTCTGACTTGAACCATGCCTCTGTTCATAGAATCTATCATGAGCTCCCGTTGGAGGAGTCAGGTGGGCCGACAGCTTTGATGGTGCTGATAGTGGGTGGTCTTGTATTTAACATTGTGTGTGTGTGTGTGTGTGTGTGTGTGTGTGTGTGTGTGTGTGTGTGTGTGTGTGTGTGTGTGTGTGTAGGAGGAGCAAGCCGCAAAGATGAAGGCAGAGAAGATCAGAGTGGCCTTAGAAAAGATCAAGGAGGCCCAGGTGAAGAAGGTGGGTTTGCTTCGTGAACACACAATAACATTTCAGTTAGTGTGGGTGTGTGTGTCACATGTCTGGAAGATTTGTTTTCTGGGTCAGGTCAACGTTACTCTGCATTTGAAAGCTCAGGTCAATTACAGCTGAGGTCTCACACACATACACACACACACACGCACACACACATTTACACACTCCTATCGACATACACCCACATTTACATGCACATACACACAGCACCAACGGCAACTGGTGAATTTTGTGGGGTGGGGCGCAGTTATGCTGTCTGTTAAATGTTAGATGTGCTAATCACATATCACCACTAGGGGCACCAAATTACCAATCTTATGACAGAATCCATGTTTTCTACCTCAAGAATGATGCTAAAAAAAGGGTGGAATAAAAGCTAAATACACAAAGAAAAACACACAGTAGTGATTTGATAGGGGTGACGGTGGCACAGGAGTTGAGCTCGCCCCGTAGTCGAAAGGTTGCAGGTCCGAGCCCTGCTCAGTTTGCCACTGTCATTGTGTCCTTGGGCAAGACACTTCACCCACCTTGACAGCTAGTGGTGGTCGGAGGGACCGGTGGCGCCAGTGCCCAGCAGCCTCGCCTCTGTCAGTGCGCCCCAGGGCAGCTGTGGCTACATTGTAGTTCATCCCCACCAGTGTGTGAATGTGTGTGTGAATGGGTGAATGACTGATTGTGTTGTAAAGTGCCTTGGGGGGTTCCAGGACTCTAGAAGGCGCTATTTCAAATACAGGCCATTTACCATGATCATGTCCACAGAAGCAGCCGTTTGCCTCCTTTCTCAGCCTGTTGGTCGAGCATTTCTAAAGTCCCTACATCACGTTGAAGCATTAAATGAAGTTAACAAAAAAACAAAGTAAAACAAGAAAATCCTACAATATAGCAAGATCGTCAGCACTCGTTTATCTTAACGCTATTGAAACATGTAAACCAAAAGGCATTATATCCACTGCTACCTTTCTAATTTTAAACTCAGTAACTTATGCTGTAACTTCACCTTGCCCTGCCCACTCCTCCTTGCTGCCGCCGGCTGTGATCACATGCGACAACATAGTAGTTCCCGCTGCTTCTCCGGGAAACTGCGCCAAAAAAAAAAAAAACTTGGGATGTTGTAGGCGTGGCGGTGGGATTTCAGCCGTAGCGGGTTGCCACGGCTACGCCTATGTAAGGGAAACCCTTCTCATTGGATCGCGCATGGGACTGCATCATCGGAGAGGGGAGAGCGTTGTCGCCCTCTGCTGCCCGTGGATAAACGGAGTAGGAAGTGACGCCACCATCAGCGTCAGCTCTGAGGATGTTTGCAGCCGCAAACGAAACGTCGGCAAGGTAAAGAAAAACCTTCTCTGTGTTTAAAAAAGAACCAAACATGGAATTTGAAGACAAACACAGAAAGAACGTACAAAAGATGTCCAAGACTCTCATGGAGTTTTCTCACAAGTTCATGAACTGGTTCGTCACTATTATGCAGAACCAGTCTCACCATTCGGGCCTGGGCCAGTTTATCTGCTGCAGCGTTGCCCCTGGTCTCACTGGTTCTGTCCAGGGTGTGAGCTGGTTGGTGGCGGACTTGAAAGTTTCCTTTTCTCAGACAGTTTGCAATTAAAGCCCACTTGTCTGTAAACTTCAGAGCTCCTCCGGTCTGTCCTTTAGTCATCCCGTGTTTTCCCATGTGGGTAACTCATCATTCACCCCTTTACACACCAAGTCACTGTCGCTGACTATTAGTGCAGGGGTTTTTCCGTGTGTGTGCACATGATGCACCGTGGCCTCCAGCACGGCTGTGAGTTCAGCTTTCTGTGCAGAGCCTGCGATTCTCCCTTTTCTCTGAGATACTTTCTTGTTATTTACATGTTTTATCCACGCCCAGTATGCCATGTCATCAGTGTGTCCTGGACACATCTGTGTAGTATGTGATTCCCTTTTCAGGGTCTCTGGGAGGCTCTGCCACCCTCACTTTTTTTAGACTTCACATCACCCCCCTCAGGCACGATGGACACTGTGGGGTCCATTAGCATAGCATCCCGTTTGTCATTTCTGGATGCCAGCGCCTTACCTGGGATCACGTGCGAGGATTTAAAACTCCAGAGTTCTGGTTCTGTGGTCTGCAGCAGCACGGGCTGCCCGTCTGCCATGCACATGATCTGATACCAGTATAGATATGCCCAGCTGCCAGCTCCTTTTCCCAGGGGAGGAATTTTTCCCTTTCTGGGCCCTTCCCATGTGGCATCCCACATGGCTGTGGCTCTTTCTGATCCCTTGTTTCCTGCTTACACAGTATAACCGTCTTCATGTTTATCCGTTCGGATCCAGAGCGGTTTTCCTGTGTTCTAGAGCACAGTGGTTGTGTCTACAAAACTCCAGGACCTCGCTCACTTTTAGGATTTCCTCTGCCACCCAAGCGGCTTCTCAGGCCCCGTTTTAAAGCCTGGAGAGACTGCATTTTCTCCGCCATCTGCGGTATATTTTCTATAAAAAATCCTAACTTCCCCAAAACTCCTTCCAGTTGCAGCAGAGCTTTAGGTAGCTGTATTTTCTCAAATACTTCAGAGTCTACCTCTTTTCCCTCAGGAAAAGCTGTGTTTTATCCAGTGCAATGAGAAATCCCGCCTCACTGAGCTTCCTCATAACTCTTAAGGAGTCACTGAGGAGCACGTGAGAGTCATCATTTGTGAGCAGAATGTCATCAATATACACAACAACCGGCTGCCCCTTAAGCACCTCCTCCACTATGGAGTGGAAGGCGTTGGGTGAATTTATGAAGCCCTGAGGTAGGCGGGTCCACTGAAAAGTTTTGTTTCCCACCTGAAAACCTGTCAGCCTCTGGGACTCAACAAAAGGGGCACGGACCAAAATCCATTGGCCAGATCCCTGCTGCTCTTGTATTTTCCCGGCCGCACCTGAGCACGGGCTCTCTTGGGGCTCACTTTATATCTTATATCTGGTGTGGTACACTCATTTAGAGCCCTCGTATCATGTACCAGCCGGTGTTTTCCACTAGGTTTGAGCACCATCTGCACTGGTGTGACTGTGAGGCTCTCTTTCACCTCTCTGAGCACCCCCTGTTGGGTCAGGCCTAATATCAGTTCATCCAAATCCTCTTTTCCCAGTTTCTCCTTTGATCAGGTGAATACTGATGAAAACAACCTGGGATGGAATGAAGCAACCAGCAAACTCACCTTTTGCTGTGCCAGAGAAGGCAGGAGACCCCCACAAATTACTTTTAATTCCTTCCTTTTGCAGCACAGCCCTTGCTGATAAGTGATAAGTGATGACACGTATTACAGGAGAAAAAAAGGAGAATAAAAAATAAGAAAAATGAATAAACAACAAGAAAAATAATAAATCCTGAATAGATTTTAAAAATGCTGAATATACCACAAGTAATGAATACCACTGATGCCTTTTTTTTAAAACTGACTTGCTCGTGTGTAATTTGGTTATTCCACATTCAGTGTTAATGCAAAAATAAGTTTGTTTCCAAATTAAAAGGTTCAAAATTGCATATATGTTGGAAAAGAAAATGTGCAAATTTGCCGTCACTTTTTCAAAAAATATTAAGTTTGGCCCGCGACTCCGTCCCAGAGTTTCTCTGGTGCCCTCTGATGCCCCATTCCATAACTTTCTGGTTCTTCGTAATAACAAAACTCCACGAGGTGTACTCAGCTGCTCTACAACAGCACAGGACGATGAACTGTGGAAAATTTCTGGTTCTGTCCTGACCTGAGCTGAGACTCTCCCCTGCTGGTCTTCTGTGCGTATCATCATGGGCATTATACCCTGCGCCCAAAGGCTCTTCTATTCTTTGTATTGGAGAGGGGGATCCAGCATGCATGCGCCAGTTAGCGTAGGTCTATGGTAGAGATTGCTGCACCTAAAAGCAACAGGAAAATGTCACAAGATGATTTGGTAGTGTTAAAAGTGTAAATAACATTTTAAAACTACACTTAAATACAGCTTACACACAGCACTTGTAGTCTGTATGATGTAAAGATTGTTTAGTTTCATTTTCATGTTTTTTTTAATATATTTTGTGATTCCTATTTTCTTCCACTTCCTGTGAGACTGGTGGGGTGGCACCCTAGCGCCCCCTCTGGACGAGCCACTACTGCACAGCACTCAACATAACGATCACTGCAATGTCAATTTCAGGGATTAACAACCAGTATTTACTGCACATAATCAGGAATGTTAGTATGTGCACATGTAAGTCTGTGTGTGTGTGTGTGTGTGTGTGTGTGCGTGCGTGCGTGCGTGTGTGTGTGTGTGTGTGCGTGCGTGCGTGCGTGCGTGTGCGTGTGTGTGTTTGTGTAATGGTTCCAACTCAACCTAGGATGCGGAACAGCTTTCAGTTTGCAGGGTTGATGTAGTGTGTGTGGTGGATCTACAGAACGGACCTGGATTCAGTCACCTGTCAGAGTTTGTTTGACCCTCAGGTCTACTGTTTTGAAGTTCTACTTTTTTGCTGTACTCTTATCATCGCTTTGTCCTTTCACAGCTGGTAATTCGAGTTCATTTGTCTGATGAGAGCTCCAAAACCATGATGGTGGATGAAAGACAGACAGTCCGGCAGGTAGGTCTTCAGGAAATGGTTTTCTAGGTGGACTTGGTAGAAAGAACTAGCTGGGTCAATTCTTTAAGGTCCTTTAGATTTTTTAATCAATTGGTCTTTGTTTGATGCCTAACTACCGGAGTATTTCCAACCACCTTTAAGAACGCAGCCGTACATCCACCATTGATGGATCACACTGACCTTTCTGATTATTGCACAATCTCCCATTTTTTTCCAAGATTATTGAGAAAGTGGTTTGCACTCAACTTTCCAACTACCTGGAAGTTCAAAGCCTCCTGGACCACTTTCAATTTGGCTTCAGGACTCACCATAGCACATAAATTGCCCACGTTCATGTATTAAACAATATCTTGGTGGAAACTCACACTGGTTCCCATGTCCGGCTGTTACTTGTGGACCTCTGAGCTGAGTCCCAGAGTTTCGTTTCAGCCCCGTGTGAATTTGAGTTTGACACCCCTGCCTTACACTGTTTGCTGATCACTTCATGCTACTTTTGTGTGGAGTATGGCGACCCACGCTGTACAGAGCTGTTTTAGGCTGAGTAGTGTCCTTTGAAAATCTGCTTTGTCTCTTTTTTTTGTAGGTTCTGGACAGTCTTCTGGACAAGTCTCACTGTGGCTACAGTCCAGACTGGTCCCTGGTGGAAACCATCAGTGAGCTGCAAATGGGTGAGTCATTAAAATGTTGTTCACGTGTTTCAGTGGTAAACAGATATGATTCTGCCCCTGGCTGTTGGGGTTTTGTAGATAGAAAACAGATGCTTATGGACCAGTTCTGGATGGACTGAGGTGGGAAGCACATGGCTGTGTTTTTCATACATGGGTTTTAAACTCAGGTCAGATGCAATAGTTTTTATAACTAAAATGTCTGAAAGGAATAAAAAAGCCCTTGAAACATACGGTGAGCAAAAATGTATTTAGTAGCCAATTAATGTGCAAGATGAGAGCGCCAATTTTTGTCATAGGTGCACTTTAGTTGTGAGAGACTAAATTTAACATTTTTAAAGGCACACTTGGCAGCTTTGGTTTGCTTTTAGCACTCCCTAGTTTCAGTTTAGTAGAACCAAAAGTGAAACTTATCTCCTCGCTGTGTGTTCATCTTTTTAACGCCTTAACCCTTTAAGACCGGCCATAGGACAAGTTCGCCAGAACTTATATTTACATTTTTACATGCTGTGGTGCCATTTTTTGGAGTATTTCAACTTTCTATACATTAATACATCCCTTACATTCTAAATTTTTATTATATAAATGTAAAATGTCCATAGCAACAAAATATTTTACTAAAAAATGCAATTATCTATACAGAAATTGAAATTCATTTTTTGTTTTTACACATATTTTTCATTATACCGAAATGCCACAGCTTTATCCCTCAAAATTGTCAATGGAAAAAGTTTCACACAATCCTTTCAAACAACCACAAATGAAGTGCTTCCATAAAATAGTTTCTGAGCTACACTCATTTATATAAACTAACAAAAACGAAAACATAAATAATAATCTGCAGGAGTCTAAAATTATAATGTTGAATATTTATAGCTGATTCTTCAGTAGTATATAGTTTTCCTTTTCTCTCTCTAATAATAATAACAATAATAAAGAATATTGCATGAAAATATATGTGAGGAAACAGAAACTTCATCTGACGCTGTAATGGCGTCAACCGCTTTGAGGAGGGAGGATGTACTGTTTGGCGGGTCCGTGAGTCTTCAAAACATTTGTAGTGGTATGTGTGTGTTGGAAGTTCGTAGTGTGTGTGACATGTGGAAGGATTTCCCCTTCAGTGGGCGGGGATCTCTCACACTGGGGAATCCCTGCATCTCTCACACGGGGTCGCCATCGGACGTCCTACGTCACACGTCTCTGTTTTTACGGATGCGTCACTATTGGGATGGGGGGTAGGGCTGTCGCGGTTGAGGAATTCCCCCTGCGGTGATTCAGGGTGGTTTAATATTGCGGTGTGCGATATTATTGCAGCCCTTTTTTATTGCAGTACTATCTACACATAATGTTTACACATTTAAAAAAGGTTAAAAATTGCCGTGCCTTCTTCAATAACACTTTACTGAATGCAGATCAAAGGGCAGTAACAACACAGATCGCAGTAACGTTTGTTTCTCCGACAGTCGGAGTCCGACTGAACTTAAAAACAAAAAAATTCAGGAGGTTAAACTTTTAAATGCAAATTTGGCTGCAGCATCTAACAAATAAGAAACAAGTCCCCATTTTGTTTAGTTGTTTAAAATCAAGCATAAAAAATTACATGTACCGGGCGCGCGCGCGCCGGGGGGCGGGCGCACTATCATTTCATTTTCACACACACGAATGACGGTGATTTATAGCTCGGTCACGTCCTTGTTACCTACAAGGAAAACCAGCATGTTAACCATATACGGTTTGAGAGAGGATCTGAGAGGGGTGGCAACATTTCCAGCAACACTGAAAACCCTCTTGGATGGTGCGCTCGTTGCACGCACACGTACTTGCGTGCGACTCTGGCGAGCAAAGGGAATCTCTCCCGGTTGTTGCTCCACCATGTCAGGGGGGTTTCTTTAGGGTGGATGCATTCCTCCTGCAGGTAGCGAGTGAGCTCCAGCTCGGCTCAAACTCTCTTCGGGACGGTTGCAGAAGCAGTGCTTGTCCGGGACTTCAGCAGGTCTCCGAGCATTTATTATTATTTTTTTGCCGCTGGTGGCAGCTCTGTCCCGGCCAAGGACTCTGGCTGCGCAGCAGCTGACGTACTGAAAACCAAAGTGCTCCCAAAGGAGCGAAGTAACGTTTCGTTTTGATACCAGCGCAGCCATCCTTCTCAACATGCATCATTGAGTTGAACCAAGTTCAGTAATCGCGGTGGCCCATGATGCAGCGTGGTGGGCTTCTTCATATTGCGATATTTCATTTTTGCGGTTACCGCGACAGCCCTAATGGGGGGACACGTGCTTCTCCCATACGGTGGCAGATCGCTGGCCCTCCCACACCCACGAGCACATAAATTTGTTGGAGCTTATGACAGTGAGGAATGTGATCAGACACTTTGCTGCCCTTCTCGAGGGCCGTCATGTCGAAGTTCACACAGACAACCAGGTGGCGGCAGCCTACATAAATCACCAAGAAGGAGTTTGATCCCTCCCACTATTGCGCATAGCCACAGATTTACTGTGTTGGGCACATGTCCACCTGATGTCCAGCAAAGCCACCTACATTCCAGGAGTCCTGAACGTGGCAGCAGACATCCTGTCAAGAGGGGTACCCTGCAAATCCGACTGGTGTCTGCATCCGCTCTAATATCACAGATCTGAATCAGGTTCGGGGAACCATCTGTGGATCTGTTCGCGGCTCGTGAAAGCGCACAGTGTCGCCTGTGGTTTTCCCTGAGACTGCAGAACCACCCACCGCTCGGAGTGGACGCCTTCTCACACCAGCCCTGACCTTAGACGCTCCTGTATGCATTTCCGCCAGTCCCACTGATTCCCCGACTCCTGGACCGAGTTTGGTTGGAACAGCTCTCGGTGATTCTGGTAGCTCCCAGACGCTTGTCCGCATCATGGTTTCCAGACCTACAAGTGCTGGTGTCCGGCTCCCCGTGGAGGGCGGACGCCCTTCTCCAGGCAGGGGGAATAATCACACATCCTCCAGAAATAGGCCAACGGCTTTGGGTCTGGCCGCTGAGCGTTCACGCTTAGAGGCTTCTGGGCTGCCGCGTGATGTGGTCGCCACGATTCAGAGTGTGTGCGCGCCCTCCACCGTTGCATCTTATAGTGATGTGAAAAACTATTTGCCCCCCTCCTGATTTCTTATTCTTTTGCATGTTTGTCACACAAAATGTTTCTGATCATCAAACACATTTAACCATTAGTCAAAGATAACACAAGTAAACACAAAATGCAGTTTTGAAATGATGGTTTTTATTGTTTAGGGAGAGAACAAAATCCAAACCTGCATTGCCCTGTGTGATAAAGTAACTGCCCCCTTGTTAAAAAAATAACCCAACTGTGGTGTTTCACTCCTGAGTTCAATTTCTGTAGCCACCCCCAAGCCTGATGTGTTTGATGATCAGAAACATTTTGTGTGACAAACATGCAAAAGAATAAGAAATCAGGAAGGGGTCCGTTTTTCACACCACTGTATGCTGCTAAATGGGCAGCTTTCCAGAACTGGTGCACAGAGCGGAATGTTCAAGCGCTCTCCTGCCAGCTGGCGGATGTCCTATCGTTTCTGCAGATACGGACAGACAGGCCTCGCATTCAGCACTATTAAAACATATGCTGCAGCAATCTTATCCTGTCACCAGGGTTTTGGAGATGGATCTGTTTTCAATCATCCCCTCACAAAACGTTTTCTAAAAGGTGTCAGAAGGAACAGACCTGTGTCCCGCCCGCTATTTCCCCAGTGGGACCTCACGGTGGTTTTGCACGGCTTATCTGAAGCCCCATTTGAGCCCTTGGACCAGGTCTCATTCAAGTTCCTGTCGCTTAAAACTGCTTTGCTGCTGGCACTGGCATCATTCAAGAGAGTGAGCAACCTAACCGCCTTCTCAGTGGCTCCTGTATGCCTCAGGATCCAGGAAGATGGCGGATCTGCTGTTTTATGCCCCAACCCGGCCTTTGTGCCCAAAAACATTAATATTTCCTTCAAATCCAGGTCAATTTCATTGGCTGGACTTTTTCCCCCTCCCCATAATTCTGGCGAGGAGGCGGCTCCCCACCTTCTCTGCCCGGTGCGGACGCTCGCACGATACGTGCCACGCACATCAGGGATTCGTCGCTCACAGAGCATGTTTGTACACTACAGAGACTCTTCCCTTGGGCAAGCGCTGTCGACCCAGCGTCTTTCACACTGACTATGTGACGCTGTTTCACTCGCTTACACATCGTCACGGCGGGATCCTCCTGAGACACACAGGGCTCACTCAGCCAGAAGTATTTCCTCTTCTATGGCGCTCCACAGTGGTGTGTCAATGGAAGACATTTGTCAGGCTGCTTCATGGGCTTCCCCATGTTCCTTTACTCGTTATTATTTACGAGATGTGTCTTCAGGATCCATCACTCGTTCAGTGCTTGGACCCAAACAGGCTGAGTGAAAACATTACGGCCTCACATCCGCCCTACTACAATAATACATATCCAGATGGATATGTTCACAATCACTACCTATGTTCCCCTCATAATGGGTCCCATTCAATTCATTGCCTTCTGGTCACCCGGGCTCCTTATTGCCTTATCACCCCTCATACATGAGCCGGTGATTACATCAATGGATCATTAAATTCATCCTCTTGTGGATGATCATTTTAGTGGGAACCCCACTCTTTTTTTCTGGCTGCCTCAGCCTTCTAAGCCCTTGGGCTGAGGCTGAGCAACCCTCTCTAAGAAGAGAAATGTTGGATGTGTCCATTTGGTTTGAGCTAACCAGTGTGGCTTGAACTCATCCAGCTGCGCATTATTCCAATAGCAGCTAGCTTAAGGGCTAAGACTAGATGAAATAGAACGTTGGTTACGTATTGTAACCCCAGATTCTATCAGTCTAGTCGCAGCCCTTAAGCCAGTGGCCCCACTGGTTCTGTTAGGACCAAGAGCCATTGGAGGCGAACAGTGGAGTCACTCCACTTGTATACCCACGGGGTGCCCACCATTGGTGGGCGTACATTTAAGCTCTTCATGATTGGCTGATGCTGAGATCACCCTTCCAATAGCGGCTAGCTTAAGGGCTGCGACTAGACTCATAGAATGTGGGGTTACAATACGTAACCAACGATCCTTTCTGAGGTGGTTGTCCCATGTGTTAACACACGCCTGTAAGCTCCAGACCCTAAAGGTTGGTTTATGCTTGACGCGTCCGCGAGGTCCGCACGGCTCCGCACGGAAAAGTTGCGTCATTTTGCGTCATTTTAACAACCACGCCCATCCACCGCGCCTCCGCACGGCCCAGAATTTCCGCAACGCGCACCTCGGAAAATTTCTAACCACGCGGATGGACGGACGTGGAAAAACATGGCGGACCGGCAAGAACTAGTATGGCAGAGGTTCGTAAATACAGATATTTGTATGATTCAGCTCTCAGAGATCACCGTGATCAACATGTTGGAGAGAAATAGCTCGCACTGTCGGAAAAGATGAGAACGCTGTTAAAAAATGCTGAAATGCCATGTTGTAAACAGTAATTTCTACTTCTACTATGGTGTAGTGTTGGGTGCATGTCATAGAGCTCCATGCTGCCCCGTTCAGTTCGGGAGAATATTGGCTCACCGCAGAGATGAGCCACACGAACCATAAACGCTGCGAGTTGTGAAGCGCGTTCCATCCGCGAGCCGCATCACCGCGCGGAAAGTGAATGCGTCAAGCATAAACCAAGCTTAAGCTCTGCTCTGGAGGATATTTAGTTTGTTACCAGCTGACAGATGTCAACGAGAGCTTGGTTCACCAATGGTCCACCCACTGTCCATAAGTGGACATGTCTATGTGACAGAATAACACCTACAGTTGATTAAACTTTGTGTCTGCAGAGCGTATCTATGAGGACCATGAGAACCTAGTGGAGAACCTGCTGAACTGGACCAGAGACAGCCACAATCGTCTGATGTTCACAGAGCGTACAGAGAAGTACGCTGTGTTTAAAAACCCCCAGGTGAGAAACACACACACCTACACACACACACACACACACAGGCATGTACGTATGTATCCACACACACACACACACACACACACACACACACACACACACACACACACACACACACACGCAGAGGTGGAAAGTAACGAATTACATTTACTCACGTTACTGTAATTGAGTAGCCTTTTTGTATATTTATACTTTTTAAGTAGTTTTTAAAATCTGTACTTTTACTTTTACTCGAGTACGTTTTTAAAAAAGAATTGTAATTCGCTACATTTTAAATCATATCCGTTACTGAGTAAAAATAAATTGTAGGCTTAATAAATTAAAAATATTACGTGTAGTAGCGTCGGAACAGAAAGAGACACCTGCATGAGCGCCGCGTCTAAACCGTGGGTGGGGGGGTGGGGTACACTTTTGATAATGAGGACAAACAGCCATTTTTGCCGCAGTTTTGCTCAAAGACATCAGTTCAGTCCCTGTGATCCACTCGCTGTTCACCTCCTCTCTCCCTCCTCTCCTGTGGGTTGGAATCCGCACCTTCGCGCACCGGTGTGACGTCATCACAATTCCACTCGGTTCGGTAGCCAGACTCGGTTCCGTGTTTGAAACGTGTTTCCCTACCGTTCCGCACGGCTGCGGCAAAATAATGTTTAGCGCTCCTAACAAGCTTTGCTCATAAAGCAGAAGACCTGCATGCCTCTGTGAGTTAAAACATCCTGATGCTGTTCAGGTGTAAACATTGTGCTCCATCCCTGTGTTTGAACTCAGAAGATGCTCCTTGATGCCACAGATATGTGATGATTTAGCGTGTTTCTTTATTTTACTCCAGAATAAGAGATTAAATTATTACTAAAGCAGTTCAATTAAATTAGTCGTTCAGATGATTCTAACATGCTGCAGTGTGTGTGTGTGTGTGTGTGTGTGTGTGTGTGTGTGTGTGTGTGTGTGTGTGTGTGTGTGTGTGTTACACATATAGGACAGCGTGGTTTCATCAAATCCATGCATCTTCTATCTTGGCTGAAGTAACAGCTCAGGAAAATAACTTATATTTCATAAATAATGACGTCTCTGCAGTGTTTATGATAATGTTTTATCTTATATTGGACCTATCTTTGGTCTGGGAGGTGTAACTTATCATGATACAAGCCTTTTAAAACATGTTACAAGAGGAGATAAATGCATAAATTTAAAGTTCATGTTTGGAGACCAACCTTCACAGTTTGGAGGCTCACGCTGGTGAGGAGACACCATTAGTTCTAGTAACACCTGGGCACCCATGGCCTGTTCTGACAGGATGGACATTACGGGACCCTTAAGGATTCCAGTTGGATGATTGGAGGATTATTTAGGAGGATTGGAATGAACACACTGATTTCAGTGGTGAAGGGTTAAATGTATTGGCTCGGCATTAAAATTGTAGAATGCTAAATAACTACACTTTATTATCTATATAAACATGCACTGGGTCCAGTTTTTAAATTTTGTTAAGGACTTTTGTCATAAATCATTACAGAAAATCCAAATCCTCTCCTCCAGACAGTGAAGAGCTGTGTTTAGCATACGTCACTCCAGCACGTAAAACAAGCTAGCTGCTGATGCTAATATTGTGAATAACTGTTATTTGTTTACTTTCATGCTCCTAATTATTACGTAAAATTGCGTTTACAGCTGCAGCAAAAGGTCTGAGCCATGTGTCTGTGTCCTACACGCATTTTTAAATAACAGGTCTGATCTAAAATAATAACCTACATCTATAAATCCATCTAGAACTGCACCGCTACTTCTGGACTCTAGACAGTCCCGTTAGCATGACTGCAGCAACACTGCTAACCGTGTTCGCTCCGGTAAGGAAAGAACAAGTCCTTTGGGAAAGCTACGACACACACGCACGCACACACACACACACGCACGCACACACACACACACACACACACACACACACACACACACACACACACACACACACACACACACACACAGATATAATCTAAAAGATGATCTCTATATTTCAGCATTAGAACCTCCATGACATCCTGGATTAGTGCAAACAACGAGTAGAGCTAAGGAGTTACTCCAGCATCAGGAAGATTTATTCTGGTGAATTGTCGGTTAAATATTTTCAAGAGTTGTATCAATAAAAACACACAGCAGTAAAACTGTAGATTACTTAACTATATTGGGACACATGATGGAGCTAAGACCAGCTGAGAACTCGTCAGCTTCGAACTCCCAGTGGAGCACAGAAATGAAATATTTAAGAAAAGTAAACAAACTGTACCAATTTTGGTTCTCAAGACTAACAGAATCCTCCTCTATGTCCAAATCAGGTTGCAGGTCTTCTGAGTCAAATGGTCTAAAACATGTCTGCACCTCTGGTAGTGATATCCAGCTGGCGGGGTCGGAGTTCGGTTGAACTTCTCCGGTAATCTAACATCCGTTCTCGTCGCCGTATCCCAGAGAAAAAACAAATCTGACCCACTAATAGAGGCTTCAGAAGCTACATCTGACTGATGACACATTGTTCTCTGCTATAACGCTAACGCAGAAACACCGGAGCCAGGCGTTGTTTACTACAGCTGTTTCAGCAGAGCTCCATGTGAAACGTCACCAGCTGCCCAGGGCTTAGACCGGAAGTTAGATTCTGTTTTTAACCGCGTCAGTCACAAACATCAGATTTTCTTACAATTCCAGACGTCAAAATCCCAAAACCTTTTTCATCTGAGGTTTTAATACACATTTACACATGCTGTTCAAATGAATTTTGCCTCTGGCCGATATCTTTAAATGAGTGAGTGAACCCACTACCAAGGATGAACTCTGCTAACTTTAAAAATCAGCTGCTCTAAATAAGCATGAAGGTCAGAGCGGAGCTCTAGGATGGACATGAATAAAGGAACTGTAATGTAGAGGTAAAGCAGGGCAGGGCCAATGTTAGCAGCTGTCATACGGTCCATTTCAAATGTTTGACTTTCATTTAGCTTGTTATGTGACAGGTTAGAGAACAGTCTCATGTTAGAGTTTTGTCATGAGAACATTGAGATACCTCACATACTGATGGCATCTAAAAATTAACATTTTCTTTTTCAAAATAAAGAATAATTTTAATTACAATTGAAACGTACAATCCTAGAAAAACCTCGTCCAATCAATGTGCACGTCCTGTTCTCACTGATTGGATAGAAATCCTTCCATCAAACTGTGTGTGTGTGTGTGTGTGTGTGTGTGTGTGTGTGTGTGTGTGTGAGCGCGCACACGAGCGTGTTGTGAACTGGTGTTGTGATTTTGCACTGATGTAACCATCTTTACGCTGGCAAAAATGTAACTAAGTAACTTTTACTTTGAGTATATTTTATTTACGATACTTTTTACTTTTACTTGAGTAAAAATTTAGGCAAGTACTTTTACTTGTACTTGAGCAAAAAATTATCAAAGTACTGGTACTCGTACTTAAGTAGGACATTTTCGTACTCTTTCCACCTCTGCACGCACGCACGCACACACGCATGTATGTATATATGCACGCACACACGCATGTATGCACACACACACGCATGTATGTATGCATGCACACACACACGCATGTATGCACGCATACACACACGCACATGTATGCACGCATGCACACACACACGCATGTATGCACGCATGCACACACACGCATGTATGCACACACACACACACACACGCATGTATGCACGCATGCACACACATACACACACACACACTAATGAGCCTGACTGGTTTCAGTTTATCACATTTGAACCATCTGCTTGCAGAACTATCTCCTGGGAAGGAAGGACACTTGTGAGATGTCTGAGAGGAACAAAGAGGCTCTATTAGAGGTTGGTACATGCTCGTGTCCTTCTCATTTCAGAATCTTAAACAAAATCTGACTGATCTTCTGTGTGTCAGGAGTGCTTTGGAGGCAGCTCAGTGTCCGTCCCTGAGATGGAAGGAGTCCTGTGGCTGAAGGAGGACAGCAAGAAGTCCTGGAAGAAGCGCTACTTTCTACTCAGGGCGTCTGGTATCTACTATGTCCCTAAGAGCAAGGGCAAGGTGCGTCAGACAGGAGATGCGTAGTATGACACAAGCATCTCTCTGAGTGTGTGCATGCATGTGAACATGCATGCATGAGTGTGTGAGACGAGTACTTGAAAGCCTTGAGAAGGCTTGTGATATTTAAGTGTTTAAGTTCTGTGTAACAAAATCTGTGAAAAATTCCTCTTGAGCATTTTTGAGTTAATCTCTATTATCGCAAGGGGCTGGAAAATCTTCAAAGTCCGTGTTTGAACTTGACTTTGTCAAAAGTGTAAGAATGTTGTTGGTGTGTGTGTGTGTGTGTGTGTGTGTGTGTGTGTGTGTGTGTGTGTGTGTGTGTGTGTGTGTGTGTGTGTGTGTGTGTGTAGGCCTCCAGAGACCTGGTTTGTTTCCTCCAGCTGGATCATGTTAACGTGTACCTGGGTCAGGATTACAAGGACAAATACAAGGCTCCTACAGACCACTGCATGGTGCTGAAGGTGAGACAGCACAGGATCCTGCTGCCACCTAGTGGCCACACACCAGAACTGCATTAACTGATGATGGATTGATTTCAGTTGAAATCCCATGCTCTCTTTGTTTGCGTGTGTCTGTGTGTGTGTGTGTGTGTGTGTGTGTGTGTGTGTGTGCGCGCGCGCGCATGTGTTTGTGTGTGTGTGTGTTTGCGTATGTGTGTTTGTGTGTGTGTCCATGTGTGTTTGCATATATGTGTGTGTGTTTGCATATGTATGTGCATGCATGTGTGTTTGCGTCTGTGTGTGTGTGTGTATGCATATGTGTGTTTGTGTGTGTGTCCATGTGTGTGTTTGCATATATGTGTGTGTGTTTGCATATGTATGTGCATGCATGTGTGTTTGCGTGTGTGTGTGTGTGCATATGTGTGTTTGCATATATGTGTGTGTTTGTGTGTTTGCATGTGTGTGTGTGTTTGCGTGTGTGTGCATGTATATGTTTATGCATGCATGTGTGTTTGCGTTTGTGTGTGTGTGTGTGTGCATATGTGTGCTTGCATTTGTGTGTGTGTGTGTGTGCATGTATATGTTTGTGCATGCATGTGTGTTTGCCTATGTGTGTTTGTGTGTGTGTGTGTGTGTGTGTGTGTGTGTGTGTGTGTGCATGTATATGTTTGTGCATGCATGTGTGTTTGCCTATGTGTGTTTGTGTGCGTGTGCGCGTGTGTGTGTGTTTTTGTGTGATGTGTGTGTGTGTTTGCGTATGTGTGTTTGTGTGTGTGTGTGCATGTGTGTGTTTGCATATATGTGTGTGTGTTTGCATATGTCTGTGCATGCATGTGTGTTTGCGTGTGTGTGTGTGTGCATATGTGTGTTTGCATATGTGTGTGTGTGTGTTTGCGTGTGTGTGCACGCATGTGTGTTTGCCTATGTGTGTGTGTGTGTGTGTGTGTGTGTGTAGTACCCTCAGATACAGAAGAAGTCCCAGTACATTAAGTATCTGTGTTGTGACGACCTCAGAACACTCCAGCAGTGGATCAACAGCATTCGTATTGCTAAGGTACTGTGAGTTCTCACAGCTCTCCTTTTGAGTCCTGAACTCTGGAACATCTGAGCCATCCAGTGCTACTTCAGCTGTTTTTCTAACTCAGCCAAAAATGGCTCGGTACATAGGGTAGCTGTGGGGGCTTAAAGTATTATAAAAGCATTACATTCACTATAGCCAAGTCTAAGGCCTTAAAGGGTATTACGTTTCAGAAAAGGATTTTCAGATGTTATGTCTTATTTTTCTGTTTCATTACACAAACATTTAGTCATGATTAGGGCTTGTGATCACATGTGAATATGCATTGCCTTCTGGGTCATGGTGGACATGTTGATGACATCACGAGTGTAAACAAACCATGGAAACAAGTAGATCATAGAGAAGCAGATTTGGGAGAAATAACATCTCAAAAGGATACTCCACTAGAAATAGACATTTTGTCTGTTGACATAGGCTTGGTTCACACTGCAGGCAAAAGCGTCTGCAGTGATGCGGACGCTGAGCCGATCTGTCGTGGTGAAGAGGGAGCTGAGCCAGAAAGCCAGGCTCTCGATTTACCGGTCCATCTACGTCCCAATCCTCACCTATGGTCATGAGCTTTGGGTAATGACCGAAAGAATGAGATCGCGGATACAAGCGGCCGAAATGAGTTTCCTTCGTAGGGTGGCCGGGCTCAGCCTTAGAGATAGGGTGAGTAGCTCGGACATTCGGGAGGGACTCGGAGTAGAACTGCTGCTCCTCCGGATCGAAAGGAGCCAGTTGAGGTGGTTTGGGCATCTGGTCAGGATGCCTCCTGGACGCCTCCCTGGGGAGGTGTTTCAGGCATGTCCTGCCAGCAGGAGGCCCCCGGGTCGACCCAGGACACGTTGGAGAGGTTACATCTCCAATCTGGTCCGGGAACGCCTTGGGGTCCTGCCGGAGGAGCTGGTGGAGGTGGCCGGGGAGAGGACGGTCTGGAGCTCCCTAGTTGGGATGCTGCCCCCGCGACCCGGACCTGGATAAGCGGAGGAAGATGACGACAATATTATTAAGCCTTTAATAGTAGATTGATGATTAAACTAGGTAATTTGGGTAATCCAAGGAAACTCTTTATAATAATTTGCTAAAAGTTTTACCAAACAGAAGGTGTTTAAAACCAGAGTCAATAAAATAGCATCACTTTTAAATCTTCAGACCTTTAGCCTGGTGCAGCACAACCAGTAGGCTTTGATCACTGGACCTCAGGGACCTGCTGGGGGTGTAGGGACTGAGAAGATCACCAATGTAAGATGGTGCTTGTCCATGTAAGGCCCTATAGACCAGAACCAGGATCTAGAGATGAACCCTGATGTTAGAAAAAGAAGTCAGACAGTGGATTACTATAACTATCTTCCCAAACAGCAAGTGCTTTTTCTGGTTTGGAGACCAGACAGCTGAAACGTGGCTCATGAGAGAGAGGATGACTCTTGAGATTTTGGGCAAAAACCTCCTTCCGTTATTGAAGATGAAACATGGCTGGATCTTCCAGCATGACAATGACCCCAAATACTTATTTTCTGCACAATTATACAAGTAAAATCTTTAAAAACCATTCAATATGACTTCATGATTATCCTTTCTAATTATGTTTCTCACAATTAAAGTGTACCTAGAAGGAAGATTACAGACCTCTCATGTTTTACACTAATCTTTTTACTTTCATCTATTTACTTGCACAGGTGGTGGCTGTTGACCTTTTTCCCAGCTGTATGTAATTCAAGTTTTCTCGTCCTTCTAGTACGGGAAGCAGCTGTATATCAACTTCCAGGATGCAATGAAGAGGGCAGAGGCAACCGACGACTGGTCCTCCCTCTCTTCCACCTCCATCAAGTCAGCATCCAGCTCCTCCAGCCTTCCAGGTCTGCAAGGGGGTTTCAGCCGGGATTCTTGGTCATGATCAGTCCGTGTTCATTTTGTTCACAAAATATTTTAGTTTTTGTTTTCATGAAAAATGAATTTTTGCAGACTAAAATGAAACAAAAACAAACAAGATACGACTAAATTATGACAAATGTTGATTGACGTTCTCATTGACAAATAAAAGACGACAACAAAAATGAACAGTAACGAAAATCCAATCAGTAAATGGAACAGGCGGGGCTAGATGAGTAAATAACCAATCAGAGTCTGGAGCCGGCTGCTGTTTGAACAAGCTACCAGTAACCACAGATCGATGTCTGTCATGGTGCATTTTGGTATTTTCCAATAATTTTTTAAAAATTTCTTTACAGTTTCAAGTAAATATAGTTAACATTTCCTTTACAGAAGAAAAATGATATTTTAGTCGACTAAAAGGATGAACATTAAAACAAATTCTACAACTAAATTGTGACTAAAATTAAAAAGAATTTTTGTCAAGAATAAAACTAAATAAAAATTACAACAGTGTAAAACACAATAGTTGAATTAACCATCACATCTTTTCTGATGCTTACAGAGTCCCAGTCCTGCCAGTCAGATAGTGGAGTCTCTGAGATGACGTCATCAGGACACATCCGCTCCCAGAGAGCGGTTAGCTCCACCTTCTCAGAAGCTTGGAGGAAAGGAACACAGGGAGAGGTGAACACACACACACACACACACACACACACACACACACACACACACACACACACACACACACACACACACACACACACACACACACACACACACACACACCAAGTAGTGTTACTATAGTTATATTGTGATTTCTTAGTAAATATTCTATTTGGCGAGAGATAAACTTTATTGTATTTATTCTAGTGAATCTATAATTAAACGGGTAAACTAGTAGTAGCACATTCAATGTCATAGAAAGTTAAAAGTTCTTAGCAGGACAGGGAGAAAGTTTAAGTGGTTAGCAGCAGTGTGCTAGACGATGGCCCCCTCCATGAGGCCACCACAGCTCAGCAGAACGTCATTGTCGCATCTTCTGGGGAGAAAAACACTTAGAGAAAAAATAAAGTTAACAGCTGAAATTGCAGAAAATAATACAGTTAAAGAGCAGATTGTAGAAGAAAGTAGTCCAGTGTGGAATGTGGTCTGTGTATCCTCCTAGCCTAGCCTGCCAGACTCATCCACTGTTTAATTCTGCACAGAGAGAGAGTCTTCTAACTCACAGTCAGAGAGGCACATGAGGGACAGGACTAGCCAGCTTAAAAATTACCAATCAGAAAAAGACCAAAATGCTCACTGTACCATGCAACGCTGTTTTTTAGCTGTAGTCAAAAAAGGCGTCTGGAAACGACGCAAACATCTTTTTTTTTTTTTTAGAAGAAAGGCTTTTAGCACTTCTACTTGTGGTTTTAAATGCATTCAAGTCATTTAAAACAGAGGAAAGAGTCGCAGTGAACTATGCTTCAGTCGCCATGTTTATGACAAACTCGGCGTTATGGTGTGTGACGTACGCTGCTCAACGCTGATTGGCTCAGATAGAATTCTCACGGGGCGGGTTATTTGAATAGGAGAGTTCCCAGACCCTTTCTCTGTGCAGAATTAAACAGAGGAGGAGTCTGGCAGGTCAAGTTAATGTCCTCCAGCAGTCTAAGCCTATAGCAGCATAACTACAGAATTAACTCTGGATAACCTAGCCTTTTTAGATGGAGGCATGTTGGAGGCAGGGCAAGGGAGAGCCGTCTTTACCGACTGTACACTGCACCTCCCTCTACTGCCCCACTTGTCCAGATCTAGGCTAACAGATTTTAACCATAGGCCCTATGAAATAAAAATGTTTTAACCCTAGTCTTAAGTAGACAAGGCGTCTGCCTCACGGACTAAAGCTGGGAGCTGGTTCCACTGGAGAGGAGCCTGATAACTAAAAGATCTGCCTCCCATCCTATTTTTAGATATTCTGGGAACCACCAGTAGACCTGCAGTCTGAGAGCGAAGTGCTCGGTTAGGAATGTATGGAACAATCAGATCACTGATGTATGATGGAGCTGGATTATTAAGAGCTTTATATGTGAGAATGAGGATCTTAAAGTCTATTCTGAATTTAACAGGTAGCCAATGTAGGGAAGCTAAGACAGGAGAGATATGATCTCTCTTTTTATTTCTCATCAGAACTCTAGCTGCAGCATTTTGGACAAGCTGAAAACTTTTAACTACATTCTGTGGACTTCCTGAGAGTAATGAATTACAGTAATCCAGTCTTGATGTAATAAATGCATGAACTAGTTTTTCAGCATCACTCCTGGAAAGGATGCTTCTAATCTTAGCAATATTCCGAAGGTGGAAAAAGGAAATCCTTTGTTCTCGGAGACTAATTTAATGCCATTGTAGGGTTTGGGAAATCGAGTGCTTTAAGAGCTCAATATATATATATATATATATATATATATATATATATATATATACATATATATATATATATATACATATATATATATATATATATATATATATATATATATATATATATATATATATATATATATATATGTATATATATGTATATGTATATATATATATATATATATATATATATATATGTATATATATGTATATGTATATATATATATGTATATATATGTATATATATATATATATATGTATATATATGTATATGTATACTTTGTTTTGATTCAGAAAAGAGTCAGGTTTATAAAAGTAAGAATGTATTTCACCAACAATGAAAACATGACAAGTTAACTAACATTTACTGAGATGGATGGACCTATGTGTGAATGTGATGTTATCAGAACTTCCATATCTGGGAGAGCTGAGTTCTGGATGTAAAAGAATTAAGTTATGAAGTGATTATTATCAAAAACACATAGGCCAGGTATTAGGCTCCGCAGAGACAAAGCAGTGGAGGTAGAGGGTCATCCATGCCCGTTTTAGTCTCCATTCCAGCCAGAAGCCGCTGGCAGCGCTGAGCTGTTTGGACGTATTCCAGGTTTCATGAACCACTTGACTGCGTGTCGGCAAGTTCAAAGAGTTCAGTAGATTTTCTCATAGGGTTTTGGTCTTACCTTGATGTCAGTGCTCTCTAAAACAGCATTATTGGTGGGAGAAATGACAACACAGCTGGCACAACATAGATGGCAAGAAGTTACTTTTTTCTGGGAAGATAAATGTTTGGATATCTAAAAATATTACAATTACTTTATTTTTTTAGTTTACCAATTCAAAATATGTTTTACAAGTAACAGCCATAGTTCAAATATATAAAGCTAGTTTCCAAAATTAATTCCAACTACTGTAGTGCAGTTGTTATTAAACCACGTTTTATTATTGCTATATAAAAAGCAGTATGGCTTTGAGGAGATTCTGGTCCACCATCTGGCGTCTGGGGTGGTGGTCCCCTTATCTAAAAAGAGGGACTGCAGGGTGTGTTCCAACTACAGGGGGATCATAGTCCTGAGCCTCCCTGATGAAGTCAATTCGGGGGTTCTGGAGAGGAGGGTCTGTCGGATTGACAAACCTCAGGTTCAGGAGGAGCTATGTGGTTTGTTTTGGATCAGGTCCCTGGTTTTTCTAGATGATTTTGTCCTGTTGGCTTCATCAGATAGTGATCTGTAGCTGGAGCGGTTCACAGCTGAATGTGCAGAGGCTGGGATGAGAATCAGCTCCTCGAAATCCAAGACCATGGTCCTGAATTGGAAAAGGGTAGAATGCCTTCTCCAGGTCAGGGATGAGGTCCTTCCTCAAGTAGAGGGTTTTGTTCACAAGTTAGGGAAAAATATAGAGTGAGATCCATCGGCCAATTGGTGCTGCATCTTCAGTACTGCAGTGTTGTACCGGTCTGCCGTGTTGAAGAGGGAGCTGAGCTGGAAAGCGAAGCCCTCCATTTACCGGTCGATCTACGCTCCTACCCTCACCTATGGGCACAAGCTTTGGGCAGTGACCAAAATAACAAGGTTGTAGACACAAGCAGCTGAGATGAGTTTTCCCTGCAGGGTGGCCCATTGCTCCTCCAGATTGAAAGGAGCCAGTTGAGGTGGCTACCTGGTGACGTTTTCCGGGCACGTCCAACTGGGAGGACACCCAATGGAACACCCAGGACACGCTGGAGGGACTATGTCTCTCGGCTGACCAGGGAACGCGGGCTTGGGATTCCCCTGGAGGTGCTGGCCCAGTAGCGGGGAGAGGGAAGTCTTGGCTATCTGTGTAGGTTGCTGCCCTTTTGACCCGATTCCAGATAAGCGGTTGAAAATGGATGGATGTAGAAAGGAATTACTGAGGTGCCATTGTTGATTAAATGTCAGACTGGCTTGCTGTAGGGCTGCTAAGCAATGAAAACAATCTATGTTGTCGGTGGGCAGAAACAGCTGAGCTTAGCAGACGGTGTGACGATAGATCAAAATCAGTTTAGCTGGTATCCTGCTGGTCACCTCCGCCATCTTTTAAGGTTATCATCACTCAACCAGCTGCTTCTTCTTCTCGTGTTTTTTGGCAAACAAACTGAGCTGTGCTTTTCTTCATAGTCACTATAAACATTTAGGTTGTTGTAGCACCTCCACCGTCAGCCAGTGGACTACAGATATTCATGCAGGCGGTTTGAGATTTTTCATTTATTTATTTATTACTCTTTATTTTAATTTATTTAAATATATTATCTACTATAATAATACAAAAAAAATCTGCATTTTGTAGGCGTGGCACTGGAATTTCAGTGTATGGTAAAGCGTATGGGTGGAAAACGCTGGTTCAGCTATGCCGTTTAACACGCCTGAAGCCCATTTTCAAACGGTCCCATTTGGAGTTTGTTATTCACGCATTTATCATCTCCTGTTTGGACAATGCGAACACCCTAATCATTGGCTCCCTTGCTACTGGACAGGCTTCAGTTGGGGCAAAAAGCTGCTGCAGGGTTATAACAAGCACAAACAGATGTAGCCACATCACCCCGGTCCTGGCACATCTTCATTGGCTACCCGTGACTTTCAGGGTGCGATTTAAGAATCTTCTTTTGGTTTCTAAAGCATTTAACAGTCTTGCACCATCTTATCTGTCTGAATTGCTCACGCCCTATGTGCCGGTGCGCTCACTGAGATCATCAGACCACGTGCTTCTCTGCACTCCAACAATAAACTATAAAGCAAGGAGGGAGCAGGCTTTTGTGAATGCTGCCCCCGTCCTTTGGAATGCTCTACCCACTGAAACTTGCCAGTCACCATCTGTTGCTGTCTTCCAGTCATGATTGAAGACTCACTTCTATGCTTGTTGGAAAAGGACTTTTAATGCTGGTTTTGCCATCTTTTAAATCACTTTTGGGTTGTTTTATCTATATTGGCTGTTTTAAACTAACAGTTTAAAATCATGACTTTATGATTGTTGCCTGTGCAGCTCTTTGGTCAGTTCCCATGCTGTTTAAACATAAATAAAACAGAATGGTGTGGTTCTGCCCGAGCTGCTTCTCTAGCTGCAGCTGTCTTTAGCCTGTTTGATCTTATATTTAAGCTCCCTTTGGACGTGTCTGCTCCTCTTCGACTCCAGCGATAAAAGCTTTCTTCCAATGGTTCAGCTGGGATTTTGGCTCTGGAGTCAGCCAGGGCTTATTTTTCGAGAAACAACCTAATTCTTTGTGCTGGGACAGCGTTCTCGACTCAGACGTTCACATAATCAGTGACACGGTGGGTCAGGTTATCAAGGTCATCTCCATGAGTGATGTAGCTAATTACAGATGTAGAGCAGAGTGCTGTGGAGTTCTTGACTTGGTGACGTTATAGTGCTTTTCTATTATAAAGAGATTGACCTTGACCCTGCATTGGGGCAGCAGAAGAGATGTTCTGTGTAGGACATGCTCTCTAAAGCTGAGTCTTTTACAGCTTCTGGAGGGGTATGTCTTCAGTTTTCATGCATTCCTGCAGGGCTTTGAAACGGGAGGATGGCAGTCCTATCATGGGGGTTTTAGTGGGCCAGAGCCCTCATTCTTACTGTGTTCACATACTTTACTACACTGATGTCAAACAGAAATTCACCATTATTTTCCTCTTGTTTTTCACAGATGATGAAGATTGACCCAATTAGTCGGCCCATCCATGTCCAGATACCCACACTGTCCCCTCAGCCCCAGCCCCAGACTCGGCCCTTCCACACCAGCTACATGGATGGTCTGGTTCCCTTGGAAGACTCCTCTCCATCTTCACCTTCACCCCCCCGTTCTTCCACCCCAGTGACAACAATGCCCCCCTCCTCAACTCTGAGCTACAGCACTCTGGCTCAGCTACAGGACCAGAACCAGTCCAAGACACAGGAATCGGGAGGGGCAGGTCAGAAGCAATATGCCACCCAGCCAGTGCCAGCTTCTAGCTCAGCCATGGTCTCACAGAAGTTCAGAACACCAAGTCCCACTGCTCTGCCATCACCGCCTCCACTGGAGGAGGAGGTGCTTCTCCCACCTCCTCCTCCAGAGAGCCCTGAAGCCAATGGGCTTCTGCCTCATCCTCCCTCTCCAAACTCACTCCTTAACGTGCACCCTCAGCTCTCCAACGCCGGCCTCCAGCAGTTCCTGGCTGAGAAGTTTCCCAACATGGTGTATGATTTTAGCCCAGCAGGACCCAATGATGATTCCCTCCCACTTCCTCCCCCTCCCACTGATTTATCTCCCCCTGCCTCTCTTCAACCTCTGTCTCCTAATGCATCTTCACCTGCTGCTCCTAAAACCTTCATTGGTAGCTTTCCCCCACAAACTGCCCCCAAGCTATCAGGCCCCTCCTCCCTCCCCTTTGCCCTGTCCCCCATGTCCCCCACTCAGCCCCCCTTGGGACATGGACACATGAAAAAGCAGCAGAGCTTCTCAACTGGACACTCACCAAATCAACCTCCCCCCACGCTGCCCAAGCAGCACAGCCTCTCCTCCAGGAACCTCTCCGTCTCCCCCACATCCTCTTCACCTGTCTCCTTTACAGCTGCTACCTCTTCTTTGGTCAAAAAGATTGTCAATCAGTTTCCAGGGAGCTCCTCCTCTCAGTCTGCTTCATCTGCTCCTCAGTCACCCCCTGCGGTTAAGGTTAAACCAAAGTGGCAGCCAGGTACTGTCATGCCTTTGCAGTCTCCAGAGTTCCCTCCACCCCCTCCTGAGGAATCCCTTGGAGATTTTCCTTCTCCTCCTTCATCCTCTTCCTCTAAGACAGGTTCCCCTATAAAGAAGTCCCCCTCCAGCCTATCCACAGGATCCACCAAGTGGGGGCCCCCACTGACACCACAGAAAGCCTCCTACATCAGAGACATCCAGGATGAAAAGCCTAAGAAGGTGGAAAGCCTGCTCAGTAAGTTTGGCCAACCTCCTCAGACAGGAACCTCATCAAGTTCCTCCTCTGCAACCGGCTCTCCTTCGAAAGACTCCACGCTCCCGGCTCCTCTACCAAAACCAGGAAAACTGAACTTAGCCAATCTGCCTCTGGTGTTGCAGGGCCTGCAGACAAGCCAGTCAGTGCCCCCCCCACCCCCTCCTCATCCTCGACTTGACTCGTCATGTGACTTCTTCCCTCCTCCTCCTAGTGAATTGGAACTCCTACCTCCTCCACCCGCCCCCTCAGAGTTTCATCACCCTCCAAAGGTTGCCATTGTGAATCCTCAGCCTCAAATGCTGCCGCCTCCACTGTCAGCATCCTCCTTACCGTTGTCACGGAAACAAGGCTTGCTGAAAAAGGGGGCAATTCCTTCACCAGTTGTAAACCAATGGACCAGCAACGTGCCCCAGTATGATAACACAATCTCACTGCCCCTCTCACCTCCACCTATGTCCCAAACCCCACCTCCCTCCTTCTCCTCCACTGCTCCCCCCACCTCTCCTAAATCACCAAATCCAGCCTGTTTGGCATTCAAGCCTCACTTTTTGGAAGACCTGAACCGCACCCTGAAGAGGAAGTCAGTGCTGCGTCATGGCTCACTGACCTCTTCCTCTAAGATGGAACCTGTTGGCACAATGGACGACATGGCACTCACCCCACCTCCTCCCCCCGAGCTTCTGCAGCAGCAGCAGCAAGGTCTCAGAGGTCAATCTCACACGTTGTCACGCCACCATCGTTCCCATTCCGCTAAACACGGCAACATCTCAGGCTATGCAACTTTGCGGCGAGGCCCACCTCCAGCTCCTCCCAAGCGAGACCAAAGCACCAAACTGACCAGTGAGTGGTAGGAAATGGAAGAACAGAGCTGACCAATCAGGCCCACTCATTTATGCTGAAGAAAGTTCCTTTTTCCTGAGACTTAACGCTGTCCCGGATTCCACGTTGCAGACGTTTCTGACTCTAATCTCTTACTTGTTATAAAACAAGCCCAACTCACCCGTTAGATACGTGTTTAAAAAGCAAATGCCGCCAAAACAACAAGCTACTCAAACAGCATCAGACTGTTCAAGTGGAAGTGGTCTGGCATGTATGGGAGCTTCGTTAGATCATAATCTGTACAGATCACATATAGTGATGGGGGGGGGGGGGGGGGGGGGGATGTAATGCACCTTAGGCCCTTCTTGCTACTTCTATGATTATGGCTGGAAGCAAAACCTCTCATTCGTGAATGCACACCTCTAGTCAGCCAACAGAGCTAAAGCATATTATTTTATATTTATTATTCTCGCATCTTGTTGTTTTTCATATATAAACATCCTAAAGACTCACTTGTCCATGTGGAATGTTGCCATCATTCTAGGAACTTTGAAAAGGATGGATCTGTCAGCTTCAGGTGGGTCACTTCCGCCTTGGTCATGTTGTTTTGTTAATAAACCATTCTGTCTCGTCATCAGTCACATTATTAGGTGTTAAGGGTCTGTGCTCAGCATCTGTAGTAGCTGAATAAAATATCTGGGAACAAGTGCCTGAAAAAACGGCTCGGCCTGCTCAAACAAAATACTCTGTTCATGACCATCTCAAATACGCAGTGATTTAATGTCCCACAAGTCCAGCTTCTCTGTAAAATTCATTTGGGAAAGCCATGACACACACAGTGGCTGATCCACATATTTCAACAATAAATCTTCCTTAGACCGGCAGAAACTCTGTGTCATCCTGGATTACTGGAAAAAACAACCAGAGCTAGTGAGCGACTGCAGCACCACCCCAGTCAGTTGTGAAAGTAATTCTGGTGTGCAGTGGTGGCCATCTTACTTTACAAAAGGAATTAGTTGTACCGTATTTTCCGAAGTATAAGTCACACCAGCCATTAAATGTGTAATGAAGAAAAAAAAACATATAAGTCGCATTTTGGGGGGAAATGTTATTATTTTTCTTACAAAATCTGAGACCAAGCATTTCACATTGCAAGACAAGTACCGGTCACAATAACAGAATAAACAACCAGAGCGCAGCGGTGCACCACGGTCTCCAGCAGAGGATGGCGGTGTCTCAAACCCTCCCAGCGGGCAGGGAGAGCGCCCGCAGCACCCCGCCACAGGCTGCAGCAGGTGATGGCGGTGTTTGAAACCCTCCCAGCAGGGCAGAGGAGCTGAAACCTGGTCCAGAGCTGGCCCGCAGCAGCGCGATGTCCATAATTTGGTATATAAGTCACTTTGGTATATAAGTCGCAGGACCAGCCAGACTATGAAAAAAAGTGTGACTTATAGTCCAGAAAATACGGTAGCTAAAAATAACTTTTTCCAGAAGGTAGTTGAGTTATAACTCTGTTATGAATTAATATACCTAATGAACCAGAGGGGTCCCAAAACTGAACCCTGTGGTACTCCCTTGTGGACACTCAAAAACTCAGAGGACAACCCATCACATTCAACACATTGAGTTCAGTCCTTCATGTAGTCTGTGAACCATGAGATGAAATGTTCAGACAATCCCAAACAAAGAAGCTTTTGTTAAAAACAGCATGGTCTACAGGGTCAAAGGTGTTTGCCAGATCAATAAAAGGTGAAGCACAGTACTGCTTTTTATCCAGAGCAACACGTATGTCGTTGATCACCTTTGTAGCTGCAGTGATGGTGCTGTGCTGCTTTCTGAAACCTGATTGGTGACTTGAGAGAGAGTATTTAATCGTTCACTTACAGGGTCTCTAGAAGCTTCACCAGGACACACAGATTAGACATTGGTCTGTAATTAGTTAATAGAGCTGAGTCACCACCTTTTAGTAAGGAGACACAATAGCAGACTTCCTAACTGATGGTTTTTGTTTGTTTTTGATAGAAAGGTTCAAAAGAGGCTCTGCTATGAAATCAGCGGCCATGTTCAAAAATAGGGTTGTATCATGTCAGGACCAGAGGGTTTCTGGGATCCAATTTGATGTACTTGCTCTACAGTAAACGGGATGAAGTTAAAAGAGACACCGGGGTCATCTGGGAATCTGTACAGGGGGACACAGGGGTTTTCCAGTAGAAGTAGGCACTGGACCAGATGAGATAAATGCTTGTTAAAAGAGTTTAAAACCTCAGTTTTATCATAAACTGGGACAGAGTCGTTTAGGACACATTTTGGAAGAGCATGAGAAGTTAACAGACGAAGACTTAATCGTAAAATTCTGTGGATTGTTTAGGTTCTCCGTTGTGACAGATTGTCTGATTTGGCCTTTTTGATGAGGGTAGCACATTTATTTCTCAGTTGCCTAAAGATAAACCAGAGGGCAGATTTCCTTTTCTAGCTTTGGCCCATGCCACGTTACACCGATGGATAATATTTGACAGTGACTCCGATGGATAATATTTGACAGTGACTCCGAGTTTCCTGAAGGGGGCATGCTTATTCACAATGTCCATGAAAGTCTTGAAGAATGTTCCTGCTAGCTCCACATCTGATAACAAATGTATTTGCCTCCAATTAACCAAAGACAAATACTTATGATACGCTTGTTCACTGAATTGTTTAAGATTTCTCTTGTAAATGATGCGTGATGTAGATTTAAGTGTTTTAGTGCTCCTGCTAGTGGCTATAACACAATGATCACTCAAGTCTGCAGAAAACACCTAAAGATGAGAGTTCATGAGAGACGTTTGTTAAAATTAGGTGAATCAAGGTTGACTTATCGGGATTCTCAGCTTTTTCACTGGGAGCTGTTTTTGTAACAGAAAGACTGCCAGCGTTTTTACTGTTTTATGAAGAGTCAAAGAACATTGTGTTCTATGAATTATAGATTTACTAAGATAAAGACAATTAAGTTAATCTCTTACTAATTACAATATATACTAAAAATCACAGTGTAGCCATAGAATAATTATACTGAGCCAGGATCCTCTGGAGGTTTCTGCCTGTTAAAAGGGAGTTTTCCTCTCCACTGTCGCTGCATGCTTGCTTAGTATGAGGGTTGCTGTAAAGACTCTGACACTAGTCAGTGACTCGATGCAGCCTGCTGGGTTCCTTATATAGGAAACTTGTTACTGATTGGCTTAATGACCAAGTAAACACCTAAACTACCAAAAGAAAGCAGACTCACTTCTTACATCAGAAAGATGTTTCTAGCTTTTTTCCTTCTTTCATTATCTGTTGTTGGAAGTGTGAGCTGCAGACTTCACCTCTGTAGCGTTTTGCATGTGGCTACATTTTAGATTAAAACTGTATTTAACAATCTTTAGCTGTGAACGTCTCAAAGTGTTGTTAGACGTAAGTTTACAGAGTCAGACAAAACATTTCTGCAGTGAAAATACAATTAGACCCAGAAAATGTATCACAAAATGAACATTTAATGGAAAAACAAAGACCAAATTCAGCATGATGTCGTGTGTGTGTGTGTGTGCATTATTGCACATGAGTGGCATGTGACACTCAGGTCAGGGTGGGCTTTGCAAACATAGGCATCACATTTGTAGTATTTCAGGCTTGTTTTGCTGTCTCTAGGGGCTCAGAGCTCACAGCGCTTCCTTTTCTGAACACGTCCTTGTTGCGGTAGAGACGCCAGGGCAGCGGCTGGGGCGTGCACACTCCTAACTATAAAACAGGAGAGAAGATGAGTTGGGCAGGAGATAATGCTTACAGAAGATGAGGAGTGATAGGACTTCAGGGAGGGAGGTGGAGCTGGAGTGGTGGTAGAGTGGGTGAGGTCCAGAGATGGGTATCTGTAGAGCAGGTGGTGAACCATAGGGAACTTCTGAATGGAGTCTGGGTAGAAGAATGAGATGTAGCTTACAGTATAATGCAGGAGGGTGGTCAGGAGATGCACAGCAGTTAAGATGATGATGGTAATGATGAGGTTAACAGGAGCTCTGGAGGAGCTCAGGAGATGGGGCAAGTAATGAAGATTAGGATGGTGGGTATAGAGTGGATGGTTCTGACCGAGGAATCCAAGTGTGAAGCTGGACTGGAGTAAGAAGGTTCCAGGAATCACCACGGGAGCCTGTTAACCTGAGGAGCCGGAAGGACAAGGTTGGTCACAACATTTTCCAATAGGAACACAATTATACAAGAGCTAGATTTCATAGGCAGGGGCTGGAGGTTACCACTGAGGTTTGTTGAGGCATTTCTTTTAGAGACTTAACAAAAAAAAAAAAGAGAAAGCAGTCCATTATTCAATCAAAAGGGGTTAATTTCAATATTGCAACATCCAAATGAGGAGGCAGTCACAGAGGCTCTTCCCCAAGCAGTTTCCGGAGCGAGTCCTGTCCTGCAACGGCCCCCACACTCTGTATATCCCTCATGAACCCCCCTCACCCAATGGGGGCGAACAAAGGAAGGCCCTACAGTGTTATCTGTAAGGGTGATCTGGAGCCATACCTTGGGGCTGTGCTTACAAGAGGCGGGTGTAAACAATGCTTCTTCTGCTCTTTGAAGCAAAACTCTCAGGAAACTGAAGCTAAAAAGAAAAACTTTTATGGTTGTCATAAAACTAACTTCTCTGGCACTACAGTAAGTTTGTAAGGGCCAAATAAGTAAGAGATATCAGATTTATTGCTCTGGCACTGGATGACTTGCCTCTCCTGTTATCCTCCTGGTTGTAGTTGGTAGAATGGAGAGCAGGTGAGTGGAAAACACACCTGCCACAGCAGCTCCTACAGGGAGCTGTGATGAGTGTCTGCCTAGTGCCCTCCTGTGGCTGCCTGAAGGTGAAACAGGCATAGCTTCCGCTTCCGGTCGGTAACAAGATGGCGCCTTTGCTTGGCTTAGCCACAGTCACCGGCCACTTTTTCAAACTTTTCTCCACAGACCTGTCTGCATATAGATGGTATGGAACAGCATGCTGTTTGAGAATGGCTCCTAAAGGTAGAATATAGAGGGAAAACAGTAATGGGCAGAGAATGGAGCCTTGAGGGACTCCCCAGGGAATGGAGACAGACTTTTTATATCGGTATAAACTTTACTGGGTCATCTTGCTGCTTGTTTAAAAGTATATTGATATTTTTTTAAAATCTATATTTTGCCCTGAGAGAGAGGAGCTTCCTGTAGGTGCTGTTCTGGATTGCAGCTGTCCCTAATTTTGGCTGGTAACCATGGCAACAACTGTGGTGTTGTAATGTGCACTTCGCTGTGTTGTTTGAGTTATAAATACCAAATCGATCAGCATATTTAGGACAAATTTGAAGTGTTAACTATTTGAAAAATGAGATATAACATCTAAAAATCAAAAAAATAATACCCTTTTTTCTGAAATTTAAAGCGCTAAATTTGGCTATGCTGAATGTAATGTTTTTTAATACTTTAACAGATGTTAAGCAGGTTAAGAGCTCCCCCTAGAAAACCTACCAATCTCACAACTGTTAAGTGAGGGTTCTGGTCAGCAGAAGGCTGCAGAGAGTTGTCCAAAGTAAAGTAGGTTGTTTCTGTCTGGAAAAAAAAAACAGGATTACAGCTTCAATTTGATGTCGTTGGTGGGAATCAGCAGCTGATGACTTCTTTGACTGAATGTGAAATTGTGGAACCACATCATTCTGAATTTAGAGCCAGGAAAATTACAGAGCATGCTCATTTAAAAGACACCAGATGCTGGTTAGACTGGATCTTTCATTGTTCGACCCAATGACAGTCTATGAAGACAGCATTGGGCAGGGCTGATTACCCCTAATGCAATGGGTGAATGGCCTGTATTTATTTATATAGCACTTTTTAGAGTGCTACACCCCAATGTGCTTTACAACTGTAGTGATTCCAATAGTTGCATCTAACATAGGAAACCATCAAAGGTGAGATTCCATAGAAAATATGAAATCAATTTGATGGATCTTTGAATATTACTTTAACCAGAAGATCGGAACTTTTTATTGCAGGGATTAGGTAACAATTCGTATTAACCCAGTCAAAAGAGAGAGAGAGAGAGAGAGAGAGAGAGAGACAAGTTTTAAAGTTTAAGAAGATTTATTTCTAAACAATTTAAACAAGGCTAACTAACTCTAAACACCCTGTGTGATGGATGGATCTAGGTGTGAATGAGGCAAAATGGAGGGTGTAAATGTGGAATGTTGTTATCAGAACTCTCGTTTCCAGAGAAGCATTAGTTCTGCGTGGGAGCGAATGTTTGCTCTAAACTACAGTCGGAGTTTCAAAAACCACATTCAGACGCAATCTTGCCGTTCTACAAACCCTTGGTGGAGACCCCCGTTGTAGATCCAGAATGCCAGGTCCTCGGACCCCCCTTTGGTACCGGAGCCGGTGAAGCCGCGTACGGTACGACAGACTAGTCTTGGAATGCCTCCAGGTAAGCGACAGGTGTTTGACAGCATCAGCGGGACCCTGAAGGGTCAGTGAGTTCAGCTTTTACTCTGAAGGAGCGCTGCTTCAGGTGGAGCTTGCAACAGGTTTTATTTTCCAGCTTGTCAAGGTTCTTTGTGGTTAAAAAGTTACAAGTGGCCGGCTCGAAACTCTAGAACGTTTGAACTGAGTTAAGGGTGACGTGGGAATTAGTTTTATAATTCAGATGTTTTGATTTATGGTCAAATCAGGATTTGACACCAAAATAAACACCACACAGACCATGCCATGTGTCAGAAAGGAAAGCTCTGATTGGAGAGACAAAAGGAATGTGTCATGTGATTTTAACATTATGTGTAATCAGTCTAGTGTGTAATGTTATATTACTTATTAATACTATCATAGGATTATAATATCAAGTAATTAATGTTCTCATTTCACAGACTGATTTAACATTGACTTCACATGATTATTTGGACTAACAAAGTTATTTGATAATTATTTAAGAGTTCTTCTGATCCTCTCTTGAGCTGTAGGGGGAGGCAAATAGCTAGTTAAAACTGTTTAGATGCAGAGGCATCAAAGGCCTTGAGCAATCAAGGAGATTGGTTCTTCATGAGGAGAGATGACCTTTAGGTGGAAAACAGTTCCTTCGTGACGCCACACAACACACCTGCCATTCACTCAGTTACACACACACACACACACACACACACACACACACACAACCACCACCTGCAGGCAAGACAGTCTCTTCTAATGAACATTGACAGAAACATCTCTAGGTAAATGTTTTAATAGTTACAGAGTCTGTACTCATATAAAATTAACAAAAACTCCAGACAAAAATTTCAGAAGCTCTGCCCATTAATGGCACTATGTATGGAAGAAAATGGGGTCTGATATGCTTTTTTTTGTTTCCAAGCTCAGCAGTTGGTCCCCAGGCCAGTCCAGTGGTCTGGGACCATAAGGAAGTATTTGTCCATGGCCTCACAGAACCGAGCTCTGTACAGCTCCGGAGAAACCACAGTAGGCATCTTTCCTGCAAAAACACAAGAGCATAAGATTTACCATAAATCAGAACAAAGGCCAAAGAGAGTAAAATGATTTAGCTGAAAACTCATCAGGAGAAACCATATTCCATGAAAAAACATTCATTTAATCAAAGTTAATCTACGGAAATTCATTTTCTTTGCAAATGTCACTAGATTCTGATTAAGGAGGCTAAACATGCAACGTCTGTTACATTTGTGCTATGTTTCTTATCCGATTCCATTTAGCTGGTTCTTAACTTTACTGATGTTCGGCGAAGCTCAGATGAAGGCTGCAATAGAAGTCCATGTATGTAGGCAAAAGTACAAACAAGCTCAATTTACTCTGTGTATAGTAAAGAACCATAAAATGAAGAGTTATCACATCCATGTTCTTTGAATTAGTTTTTGAAAAGCTCAGATGGGAAAGAAAAATCTTCAAAAGACAAGAGAAGTTGCTTTTGGAACAAAGTTGTTTGTTAATCCCAACAGGCTGATTTAACTTCAGATTATATAATCTCTGAAGGAAAACATAGAAGAGAGGAGAGTGTTATGCTTGAGGCGTGAAGTAGTTGTAAGCCACTTTTACAAAACAATGCTGTCAATTTGCTGCAATGCCGTGGCGGCATCAGGGACCTCAGGTTGTGGTCAGATCCTGGTGATAATCTTGTGCAATTGTGTCCTTTTCACAAAGGATTACACAACAGAGGTATAAAGGTAGTATAGGGGCTGTCTCTGCGCTGCAGCGTACTTCTGTTTATCTTTGACATAACTTGTTTTTTATTTCGATCAATAATGATCGTTACGTTTTTTAGCAAGTCGCTCCTAAAGGTATCTGTCCCGTACAGTCTCTGGTGATCTGTTTATGAATGGAAGTGTCAGGTGTGTACAGTCAGACACTCGGCCCTGCAGTACAACAGGCCATCTACTGCTCCAGAGCACTTTGGAGACAGATAACAGTAGATGTTCTGAAATGCTGAACGTGGAGGATGCCATGTTTCCGATCATCTCACCTTGACCTCCTAGGATTCCAGTGGACTTTACAACCATCTCCAGTTTCTTGTCCCACGTAAACGTCCTGATGTAATCTGAAAGCAGCAGAGGAACAGAATCAAAACCAACCTGAGAAAAAGCCCCCCCTCCCCAGTCTCACCTATGATCCCCACCACTAACTGCTCCGTGGCGTCATCCCGCCCCACGAGCAGCGAGTAGTCAATTATCAGGTGGCTGGATAGGAAGTAGGCATCACTGAGAATGGCAGCTCTCAAGATGGCTTTGCAGTGGGAGCGGATGTAGAGCGGGTTGTCATGAATCAGCTTCAGAAGGTTTTCATCCAGCAGGACCACTTCACAGCTCTCCTTTCCTGATTCTGTCTTCACGTTGCGGTTCCTCAGTGAGCCTTTTAAATCAAACACCTGCAGCACAACACGCAGCGTCAGCGCCACTCATGCCCCAGCAAACCTGAGAGGATCAACAGCAGCTGTGAGACGCACACCTGAGACATTTTGCGGCCATAAAAGAGATTCTCCATGACGAGCAGGTCCAGTTTCTTTTCCGTGTTGTTCTGGGAGTTCTTGTATCCGATCCGGTAAACTCCCAGGATCTTGGCGAGTGCAGTGGGTCGCTACAGGACACGTGGAGTTAACGTGGGGCTTCATTACAGGCATAAGCGTTCCGGCTGGAGGCTTACCTTCTGTTGTACAGCTCCAGTGATGTAGGAAAAGTAGTGAGGTGCAAAGTCTAGGAAGGACTGGACTTCTAATCTGGGCATCTGCTTCAAGATGAAGCGATCATCTGACAAGAATCAGGAGAAGGACCAGATTATTCCCTCTGCTGCTTTACTTACTAAACCGTGTGAGACGAGAGCAGGTATAGGTCTATAAACCTTCTGTGGCGTAGAACACAGCTCCAGACTTTCCTCCACGAGCCTGCCAGTTTACACAGTGTGACAGCGAGCGCACAAAGTCCTCCTCGCTGCTCTCCATGATGTCCTCTCGCATCCTGTGGAACTCCTCAGCGTAGTAGATCCGGCAGTAGAACTTAGCGTTAGCATCAGAGAACTCTGAGTCGGAACACAGATGAGAGAATCACTGTTCTGTTACCTTTTCAGGTAACTTACACCGATTCAAAGAAGTGTGAGGAACCCAAAACTCACGCAGCTCAATGTGCGGATTCTGTGTTTGCTTCTTCTGCTTTTCAGCTAAATCTGCATCTTCTGGTGAAACATAAGAAGGTGAGCATCATTTGGCGTCAGTCAGAAGATGTTAGTTTGACTTGAGAACTTGAAGACGCACTTAGAGGATCTCCATCAGTGCGACTCTGCTGTGATGACAGAGACTCGCTGGGCCTAGCAGGACTGCTCTTCCCTCGACTCTCCGCACAACTGGTAAACAAACAAAAACCAGTCAGCTGGTCTACAACAACAAAACTCCAGCAGTCTAACCAAGGAGCGCTGGTCCATCAGCTGGAAGTTAGCATTGATGCTATAACCCTGTGCTAAGCATCTGGCCTTGGTCAGAGTATTATTGGGCATGGCCCAGTTTCCTAACAAACCAATACTTGTTTACATACTTGGTATGCAGTACAAACCTTTCTGTTCACTTTCAATTCCTTTGGGAGAACACAAATGATCGACATCATTCATGTTCTCCGGCCCCGCCTCCTCCTAAACACACCTGCACACACACTCTTTGCCTCAGTTAGGATAAACGCTGACCGGGTGGTGCTGTTCTTTCAAAGGCTGCTCCAGATTCCCATGGCCGACAGACGGTAATGACCTGCACTTGTTTAGAGCCTTTCTGGGTGAGAGGACCAATCACATGCTACTAGTGATGCACCGATATGAAATTGTTGGGCCGATACCGATATACTGACAATGTTTCTAAAATCAGCAGATTTTGTATAGAATGAAAATGATTAAAGCTGAATTTACATTATGTACACACAACACACATTTACGTTTCTGAGATGATTTAATTCACTGTCACATGACTAAACAAATACACATCACCCCCCCCCCCCCCCCCACCCCCCACCCCACCCCCCAAAACAGCCAAACAAATGGAGACAAGATGGAAAAAGCCACTGTCAGGTCCTGCCTTTTCCAACTCCGCCGCATCACACAATCCTCAAACGCCCGCATCTTGAGTCATTCATTCATGCTTTCATAACTTCACGTCTGGATTATGCGAATTCTGTCCTGATTGGGATTAATGTTTCAGCCCTAAGTAGACTGCAGAAGGTTCAAAATGCTGCAGCCAGATCCCCAGCTGGCTCCGGGCCAGGGTCATCTCCAGTTTGGCCGACTCCCCCTCCTCCAGCGGAGGGAGAGGAGCCACGTCTGATCAGCTGGGCTGCCCGCGCCGGGCGGGTCCAGCTGTGCACCTCCACTGCCAGGCCACCCTGGCACTCGTGTTCCACCTCGTCGCGTTTTCATCAGCAATGCGGCCTGTCCCCATCCTCGGCCGTTGGCTCTGCGGTCCAGCTGTGCCGATGTCACATCAGCCCCGTCTCCCCCTCTGTGGGATCGGAGTCAGGGAGTCGCACCGTGGCTCTGGGGGTTAAAGACCACATGGTGCAGGAATCAGCCATTTTGGCATAGTTCCTGGGAGTTCCTCTGCACCACACTTTTAAGTTGTCGTCTGTCAGAGGCCGATGAGTGGGTGGGTCTCCTGGCGTGGTGGTTGGTGTCCCTCCTCCAGTCCAATCCACCAGCTGTGAATCGTTGCAGTGTCTCCATCTGGCTGCAGCGCTCCGCTGACTCTCAGTTCTGTTGAACCATCTCAGCTAGAGTCTGGTCCAGCACCAATGCTTTGTGATCCAGCTGCATGCTGCCACGGTGTGTGTTGGGCACAAAATGTAGCATTTACAGCTACCGGACCCCCCACCCCATCCCCCCCCCCCCCCCACACACACACACACCCACACACCCACACACACACACACAGCTTTATTTGCACCTGACTCACAGGTAAGCGTAGCTGCGGACAGGAGCTCACCCAGCTTCTCGAGTCTGCTTCAAGTCTCTCCTCTTTTTCACACTGGCAGCAACGTCCTTTATGATCAGCTGGTGGATGACTGCAAATGGCTGCCTGACGCCCGACAGCGGGCTCCCGGCAGCCCCTCTTGTGTGCACCGCCACGGCGACGCTGGTGCGGCGGTTAAAGGAACAAAAGAAGATGCTGCACACTTCTTCAATGATTCAGAATAGTTTGTGTCCACATCTCAACGCGTGGATTATTTTCCTCCGCTCTAGTGTTAAAAAAGGCTCGGCTCACTGTGACCAGCGTCTAAACATTGCTGATGTTGTAGTGGGTTGGAACATGGAGATGCAGCAGGAGAGGCTATTGTGATCCGACAGCTGCCTTTGTTCAGCAACATGGACCGTGCTGCTTTACCGTCTACTGCCTCTTTAAGGGGGACAAGGATCAGTGGCTGCTAAAGACCTTTGTGCCCCACCCTATATGGAACAGCGATGGTGCGCCATGCTTAGCTTTAACTGACAGCAGAGTAAAGTACCTTATTTGTTGCATGTATGGAGTAAAAAGCAGTCCTGTGCAGGGCTCTAGAGCCAACTATGGGTCAAACATGGGAACCAGAACCCTTGGTAACAAGCATTGTGCCTTCCTGTATTCTGGAGGATCCTGATCCTACACAAATGCAACTGGGAAGATTCCAGACGTGTCTGAGTAACGGATATTATAAACATGGGTGAAACCAGGAAAAACCATCAAATGCTAATCTAGAACTATTAAAAACTGAGAAGTGAGTCCGCGTGTTTGACATTTAGAGGCAACTCATTCCACAATCTAGGATCAAAACTCCTCTTTCTGTGTGTTGGGTCCGTCAACACCCACCGCTACAAAACCATCCAGACCTTCAGCCATCTGGGTCAAGTACCTGACTGCATGTGGAGCCTCGTCTCCTGCTGAAGGGGACGTCTTGGACAGGTCATCCGGTGCTGTTTTGTACTCTTTGCAGCTGGTGGAGAGCAAGCAGCGTGTTAAGGCAGAGAAGTAGTGAAGCTGATTTCTACTTCTCCGTCAGCGTGGGCACAGAGAGCCGCAACGCCGCTACACATCTGTTCAAGGGCTCTCCGACGGGCTCACAGAGGGTGACGGCGACACGCCCAAACATGTAAACATCTGTCGAAAGTGGCACAGACCGCAAGCTTGTGATTGGTCACGGACGCTGCTTCCTGTAAATTTCCTGTAAAAACAGCAACGCCTTTGCCGTCTCAGAGAGTAAAAATACATTTAGCGAGAGACACAGAGCAGATCGAAGAACCCGTCGCAGAACAAGCACAAAAATATGAGCCAATGTTTTATTTGTGGATGGAAATGTGTGCTTTGGGGTGGAGGTGATACAGCTTCTAATATGCATAAACACGTTCGTGTTATGGGTGTGCGTCTCTGACGGAGAAGTACACATCAGGGTCAACATCACAGGTGGCTCAGACACGGAAGAGGAAGTTACCTGAGGGCGAAGGCGATGATGGAGCTCGGCTCACGCTCACAGACTGCGATGGGAACCCGTTCGTGTTCATACATCAGATAATGTTTATCTGGATCACTATTGAAACACACACACATCATTCAGGACGGCAGACGCGGGTGTGTGGTACAGAACAACTCTGACACTTACAACGGGAAGGGGATGGGGTTGTAGCTGATGCCAGGCAGGAAGTTGGCCAGGATGGCTTTCATAGTGGACTTCTCCTTTACCTGGCCATCAGTGGAGCCCAGCAGGTGTCCATCAAACACGTCTGCAGTCGGGTCAGAGCAGAGACCTTAGAGCTACAGCTAGTTTCTATGTGTCGAGTACCCGGTGTCTCTGTGGCTAACAGAGTGTGTGTGTGTGTGTGTGTGTGTGTACCTTCTGGGATACTGACAGAGTCCTGTTCAATTGTGGCTGGTTCTGCTATGGGGTCTCCCGGTGATGGCAGCAGGGGGGAGATGGTTGAGGGCAGTGTGCACAGGTGGCGGTCCTCTGACAGAGGGGTAAAGGCTTCCCATTAGGATACAGGATGCTTCCTCTGTGTGAGTGGCTATTCAGCCTGGACTCTGTCCCAAGTGTCAGAGACACTAACCTGACCCAGAGCTTAGAAGGAAGGTCAGTGGAGAAAACAGTCTCCCAGTATTTTGGACTCACCTTTGTCACCATTCTGGACCACAGGTAAGGAGTTACGAGGAGAAGAATCCAGGGAACTCTATCAAACATGACAAAAAGAACAGCAGCCAAGTTTGGTGTGAAACCAGTGCAGAGCTGAACTGGACCAGCAGACACAAATCTAGCCCAGCCTACAGCTGTTGAAGGCCTTTTCCATCGCCCAAGCTGGTATGGAACGGACAGGATCGGGTCGCTAAATTTTCTGATCCGATTGTTAAAACAGGTCCAGGCAACCTACCTGAACGCGCCAATCACGGGACTTTTTTGCTCCCTTCTGTTGTAGGTTCGGAGATTCCTGGAGTGGTACCGTTAGGGTGGAGCAACAACACAGTCCACTGATTGGTTGACAGAAATTCGTCACTGGATGATATTTATAGCCAAAGCAGCCTTCCGAACTTAGCGACTGCACTCTGGAGTCACATGTGGAGGCTGTGGTCAGCATTTCGTTTTAGTCTTTAGTGCTGTGGACCAGTTATTGCAGCTCAGACATACTGAATAGTTGCACAACTTAAAAAATCACGCATGACGATTTGTTTAACCCCGCCTGTCGACGTGATGGCCCAAACTGCGATCGAAAGGCTTGCCCGAAAGTTCTAGACCCATACCGGAACATACTGGTCCAAAGATAACCAGACTAGACCATTCCAGACCTGGGGATGGAAAAGAGCTACAAGTCCCCAGGGGCTTCCCCAGCAAACATGCCCATTTGGGCCCCTATGTGGGATCTCTAGGCAATATAACCCACGAACACAAAGGTTGCCTACTGTGGGACCCACAGCCATTAGGAAATGTAGGGCACATGCGGGTCCCATCATTTGGGGCCATGCAGCGGCTCAACTGGGCTTGGCCCACATACATGAGCTGCCCATCACTGTCAGGCCCTCATGGGTGCCACATTTCACAGCAGTACCCTGTAAGTGTGGGCTTTCCACCATTTACCACAGTTCTTTTATTTCTCATCCTGGTTAACTTCTGTCTGTCTAACAAAGGAAACCAGAACAAACGAGCCGTAAGGTGAGATTTACCTTGTCCTCCGCAGTGGGGGGGCGGAGCCGCCCTGGACTTGGAGGGACAGACAGTCGCTTCCTGCCTTTCTCAAGCTGAAACAGGTCCTGGAGTCTGCAAAAGAACAGAAACACTCAGAACTGAGCCCAGCTGTGCAGGTCTACTAAAACAAAACTTCCAGAGGTCCATGTATCAATCCTTGTCTGTGGCCCATTAGAGCACCCCAACCTTCGGTTGGTTGAATAAATGTCGGGTTTGTAGGAAACTCCTGGTTAGGAAAGTCAAAACACACCTTTAAATTTTTCAAGCAAATAACAATAAATATCTTCTTAAATGTCGACAAGAACATGAGAAAAACGTTATGAGATGAACATTTAACCTAGCTGCTTTGGGTAAAAATAACACTAATTTTCATTACAGTATGAGTCTGACAGCATAAACACAGGGGTGTTAGAAGCATAGGGAATGGGGGGTGGACACATCCTTTTCTAAATGGTTGGCTACAACCCTAAATTAGTCACGGTCCGTACCGCTCACGGTGACCAAACTTTCTTGTGATTTTTTAAAAGATCCTTGTCTGCGGATGAGGTTTGGTACAGAGACCGCCCTCGTACACCCTTCATGCCAACATCGTGTAATCTTTTGTAAAAACAACACAATTGCGCCACATTACTACCACGGGCTGACGTAAGGCTCCCTGATGCTGCATTGTTTTCTAAAAGAGGCGAGTGATTAACACTGTTGTGTTCTGTCAGAATTAGTTGACAATAAAACGATAGCACATCTGGAAATAAACTGTGCTGTTTACTTGTTGAGAAAGTGGAGAGATGTCTAATACGTGATGCTGATCACAAGACATAAACATGTATGAATATCAATAATTGTAAATGTTCTCCAAACACAACTAAACCTACAATCAAAATAGTTTAGATGGAAAACTAAGTCATTTTAAATATTAATATATTAGGATACAATAATACTTAAACTTTATTTTGGAACAGCATCTGGCCCTCACAGTGTCTGCTGGAAAAAAAATCCAGCGCTTCAACAAAATTGTTGGCCCCTGGGTGACACTTTATAATAATGTAACATCCACAAAACAATCCACTGTTAACGCTTTATAATTCCGACCAGACACGGAGACAGAGGTGAAAGAGAAAGAAGGAGACAAAAGGAGGGGGGGGGGGGGGGGGGGTTCCATAAAAATAAACAATCAATGATGAACAAGAGTCTGCTTCTAGACCTGCAGAAACGGGACACACAACAATACAACAAGAGCAAACTATCACTGCATCAACTTGATGAAGAAATATAAAATCAACATTGTTTAACTGAACAATCACACGATAATAAATCACAGTGCATTTAGTGCCAACCACAGCCTTAAGACATGTGTTGAACGTGCCCAAGTCTATACTTATGAGAGCACCATGTGAGCACCTGTGTGTGTACACGCGCTTGTTTATGTAAGATTTCTCTATAGGAGAGTCCAATAGAGAGTGTGAAGAGCCACAGATCTGCCCCCAAAGATGTGCAGGAGATGGAAGGAGCTCCAAGTCCCAGAGATCCAGGAGCTGCCCTAGGCCACAGGGACTCCAGGCAGACTGCGACCAGAAAAGCCCTGCCCCACTCGAGAGGCGCAGAAGATTGCCCCGGGGGCCACAACCTGCAGCCGGCAGAGTACCGGGAGATATCAGCGGCAAGCCCACAGGCCCGCCCGCAGCCTCCCACCCCCAAGCTGGCCGAGCCCGAAACCCTTCGACCTGGGACCCAAGGGCAACCACCCCCGCCGGGGACCCAGATTCCATCAGGCAGCCACCGGGATCAACCAGACAGATGCCAAAAATCTTAAGCCTCCTGAGCCAGGAGCCACGAACACTCAGGCAGACTAAGGCACCGCACTCCACACAAAATGCAGCAGGGGGAGGGCAGGCGAAGATGTGTAGCAGCACAAGTAGTGCCAGGAGAGGGGAGGAGTCCAAGACCCACCTGACATATACAGTCATACACAGACACAGTCACACACTACCTCCCTCATGCTCACACATACACATACAACCTAAGACTTACAAAAATGAATGCTAGACACCCACTCATGCTCCCCATACACACCCTATTCACTCTGGTCCCGGTACTGCTGCACAAAGCATACAACCGTCACCAGTTCCCAGAGTTAGCCCCTTTCTGCTGGGGTGCTGATGAGCAGGCTCCCTCGCTCAACGCCGAGCAAAACAACCCACCACCCCAGACCCACCCCAGACGGCCAGCTCCCCCTCCTAGCCTCCAGCACGGGAAGCAAAGAGACAACAGAGGTGTGCTAAGACCCTAGTCTCCCTCCACCTGCTCCAAAACAGTGTTAGTGCATGTTGATGAGGTGTATTCTATGGCTGTGGTGAGCGGGCAGTGCAGGCATCGTCTGGCCTATGCCAGCTGATGCCACCACACCACCCAACTTCCCCCCACAGCCCTCTGTGTATAAGTGCAGTTTAAAATTGGAAGTGGGCACCAGCACTCGGGATGAGGCTGAAAAATCCCCTTGCCTTGCCCCTTGAGTGTGCTCACTCCCAAGGCCCTAAGCGCGTGTTTGGATTGAATGTCGTTAGTGGAAATGTTTAATGTGCAAGTAAAATTGGAGGGCAGGCTGCCACAGGAATTCAGAAATGGGATCCATACCCGCACCCCTTGACTTGTCCACCCCCCAAGGTCTTATGTGCATGATTGTGTGATGATCGTACCTTTCTAACAGAAATTACAGGGTCTGTATAAACCAAATCATGTCAGATTCTACCCATCTGTTCTGTGGGATACCGCAAGGCTCTGTTTTAGGTTCAATGTTGTTTCTACTGTACATACGCCTTCTTAGACAGATAAGTGATTCTGTTCATAATGTCATTGATCACCTATGCAGATAACATTCAGCTGTACTGCTCCTTTAGGGATTCTGAGTTGTATAAACTGTCTGAATTACTAGTGTCTATCAGCTATCATCAGCTGGCTAGAAGATAACTTCCTTCAGTTAAACTCTGAAAAGACTGAATGTCTGATCATTGCCCCTGAGAGCATGGTTCCCCTGATTAGTCTAAAACTTGCTCATTTATCCTCTGCCGTCAAGTCAATCTTAAGAAATTTGGGTGTTGTTTCTGACCGATCAATAGGCATGTTTCCATTACCAGAACTCCAGGGTAGTTCCTGGGATGGGGAACTTGACCAGGAGATAGGATGTCCCAGTCCTCTCAGCTGTTGTGTCTCCATTCAAATCCAGCATATCACGACTGCTTTGGCAGTGAGTGATGTCACTGATCAGCCCCAAAAAGCACCCAAAGTAAAATTAATAATATTAAAAGCATTTATTTTATATAAGTATATCATAATAATATAGGTGTCCCCCTCCACTAACCCTCATATTGGTACAGTCCACAAGCTGCTCCAATGCCCCCGGAGTTGGGAGCCAGCAGGATGAGAAACAGTAAATAAGTTAATAACCACACCACTTGTTGAACAGGTGCTGAAAAACATATTTTTCTCTGCTAAATTTCGTTAACTTCCCAAGTTAGTGTTGGTGGTGGTCAGAGGGGCCGATGGCGCCAAATGGCAGCCTTGCCTCTGTCAGACCGCCCCAGGGCGGCTGTGGCTACAAAGTAGCTTACCATCACTAGGAGTGTGTGAATGTGAGAGTGCATTCGAGCGTCCTAAACAAGAGCTATATAAAATCGATGTATTATTATTATTATTATTATTGTCATTATTAATTAAAAAAAAAGTCCCTGTTAAGGAGCTGCAGCTCGTCTCCCTACTGGAGTCTCAGTTTTTAAAAATTCTCAAAGTTGACAAACTAAAAAAATGGCAAAAACTTATCAAAGCATTTGCATTTAGTTAAAGTAAAAGGAAACCGAGCTAAGTTGTTTAAAAATGTGGAAGTAGCATGCCAGCTAATGTATAATGTTTGTTTATGTTTACTTATTTGGCAGACGCTTTTATCCAAAGCGAATTACAATTTATAACCTATAGGGCATGTTGTGATCTGTGGGGGAAACCGGAGTACCCGGAGGAAACCCACGCATGCTTGGGGAGAACACGCAACTCCACGCAGAAAGGCCGCAGCCAAGTTTCGAACCTTTGACCTTCGTGCTGCGAGGCAACAGTGCTAACAACTGCGCCACCATGCAGCCCAGGATAAAGCACTGCACCTAGGGATGGGCACCGAATTTGGTACTTTTTAAGGCACCGACCGAACTCCATAGTACCGACAGAGTACCGATTCACGTCACATGAAACGGTGCCTTGTTTCGGTACGAGTGCCGGCGCAAGAGCGTGATGTCGTCAGTCACTGTGGGCGAGCTGTAAACAAAGCAGCACGGCAGAGAGGAAGCGTTGTGAACTCTGACTCCACTTCACTAAATGGGATGGGTTACTGTTTTTCTCATAGAAAAACTGGTGAAGAAGCTAAAACTTAAGCTAGGCTTTTTCTTCCATAAAAAGATGTGTTTTTCTTTTGAAGCAAAAACGCGTCTTTTATCTGTGTAAGATTATGGTGATCTTTTTTATAATCTTTACTGCTCTTCAAAAGCTGGATTCGGTTTATCACCAAATGTAGAGCCATGACACATCACTGCGAGAAGTGATGTGTTCCAAAGACCAGATATAAAAGTGGAGGTGATCGCTCCTTCCAGACTGTTGCACCCCGACTCCGGAATGATCTTCCTTTATCCTTACGCAGCGTTGACAGTCTGGAGACTTTAAAAAACAGCTAAAGACCCTTTTATTTAAAGCTGCTTTTACCTAAACCTTTTATTTTCTTATTTTTAACTCAAATTTTAATATTTCATCTGTTTATGAAATGTTATAATTTAATGATCTTATTTTTCTGATTGTAATTAATTTCTGTTTTGAGATCATTATGATTTTATGACTTTATGGTTTGTTTTGTTTAGATCTATGTGAAGCCCGTTGTGATTCTGTCTGTGATGAGTGCTCTAAAAACAACATTTACTTACTAACATGTGCATCTGCGGTTACAAAAGTAGGTGTCTCGGAGGCCGCCAGCGGCACTTTGTCCCACGTCTAAAATGGTGCCTGTGGGTCCTTCATGTTACTCATTATTTCCACTTGCTGTCAGTCTGATTACTTAGGTCACCGAGCACTACTGGGATCACTACTGAGTGACTTTAGATTTACTCACAATGATAGTTGGATTCATTCACTTACTGTGTTTTATGCTAAGCTAAAGCTAAAGGAGTACAGCCGAATCAGGAGAATGACTGGGCTGGTTAAAAACTGGTTTTTCCCACTTATCTAACTCTGGGAAAACTGTCAACAGAACAATTCTCTATTTTGGTAGGACTATCCCTTTAATGTTTGTGTGTGTGTGTGTGTGTGTGTGTGTGTGTGTGTGTGTGTGTGTGTGTGTGTGTGTGTGTGTGTGTGTACGTGTGTGTGTTGCTCGAGGTGGCTGAGGAACATCTACAACTGTAAATCAAACACAGAATGTGGTTCTGACCTGCTGTTCCAGGACTGCAGAGTCTCACAGAGACTCTGCTTTTTCATCACGAGTGACTCCAGGAGGACCTGCAGTTGCTGAGGAGAGTCTATTCCACTGGTCTGGAGACGCAGCAGGAGCTTATCTACCCAACTACGCATCTCTGCTTCTTCCATCTGTGCACACACAAAAGCACCCACACACACACACCCACCCACCCCCACCCCCACACCCGCGCACACACACACACACACACCCACCCATGCACGCACGCACGCACACCCACACACATTAAACTAACAGACAACACTAAGAGATGGTGGGATGAGAATGAATACATACATCTTTTTGAGCAAAGAGGTCCTCCATCTTTTCTTCCCGAGTCTTACTGAAGGTGTCGGTCTTCAAAGAGGTGAGGCGGTCATCGATGGCCAGGTACACTTGAGTTACTCTGTTAGGAGACCAGAAAGATGTGGTCAGAACATCAAGAGTCCTGTTGGTCAGGTGACCGTAAGTAAAAGGGTGTTGAAGTGCTCTGCAGGTTCTCATATGGAAAGATGCTTCTGCACTGAGATCATCTGGAGGGCCAGGACCAACTTTACAAATATTCTAATCCCCCTGACCTTTGACTTCTACTCTCCTTCAAAAAGGGAACTAACTTCTGTCCAGGCTACAACTAAACTTTGGACTCAACACAATCTTTCCTTCACAGGAAAGGAGAGCATCCAGAAAGTAATCACAAAGCACAAAAGTTGTCACATTTTTTACGTTACAGCCCTTTCCTAAAGTTGTTTAAATTCATGTTTATCTTCAAAATTCTACACATAACACCCAACAATGGCTACATGAAAAAGCTTTTCTGAGATTTCCGCAAAATAAAAATTGCGATTTGAAACTAGATGGTATACATTCTGGGTTGATGTGACTGAGGTTTCAGAACCTCTCTCGGTAGCAATCTGCAGCTCTGCTCTGGTTTTTCCTTCATAGTATTTCTTTAATCTCTGCCCAGGACAGGGGCGCTTGGTCTAATATTCAAGTGTTTAGGAATGGGCCATATTTTCTAAAATCTATATCACAATATCTTCGTTTCTTCTATTTATTTATGTACTATTTTATTTAAATAAATAATAAATTTAAATTTATTATTTATTTAGTCAGAATGACAGTTTTTTACATTTGCACATGAAGTTCAGAACAAATACATCTAAAACGTATTTAAAAAACCTTTCTGGTATTTTTTATGATGTATTATAATTTATTCTCCAGCCCATGCAACATAAAATCCTCATATGAATAAAGATCGTCATCGTCTTCCTCCGCTTATCAGGGTCCGGGTCGCGGGGGCAGCATCCCAACTAGGGAGCTCCAGACCGTCCTCTCCCAGGCCTTCTCCACCAGCTCCTCCGGCAGGACCCCAAGGCGTTCCCGGACCAGATTGGAGATGTAACCTCTCCAACGTGTCCTGGGTCGACCCGGGGGCCTCCTGCCGGCAGGACATGCCTGAAACACCTCCCCAGGAAGGCATCCTGACCAGATGCCCAAACCACCTCAACTGACTCCTTTCGATCCAGAGGAGCAGCGGTTCTAATCCGAGTCACTCCCGAATGTACAAGCTCCTCACCCTATCTCTAAGGCTGAGCCCGGCCACCCTACAGAGGAAACTCATTTCGGCCGCTTGTATCCGCGATCTTGTTCTTTCGGTCATTACCCAAAGCTCATGACCATAGGTGAGGATTGGGACGTAGATGGACCGGTAAATCGAGAGCCTGGCTTTCTGGCTCAGCTCCCTCTTCATCACAACAGATCGGCTCAGCGTCCGCATCGCTGCAGACGCTGAACCAATCCGCCTGTCGATCTCCCGATCCCTCCTACCCTCACTCGTGAACAAGACCCCGAGATACTTAAACTCCTCCACTTGAGGTAGGACCTCTCCCCCGACCCGGAGTTGGCAAGCCACCCTTTTCCGGTCGAGAATTATGGTCTCAGATTTGAAGGTGCTGATCCTCATCCCAGCCGCTTCACACTCTGCCGCGAACCTACCCAGCAAGAGCTGAAGGTCAGAGCTGGATGAAGCTAGGAGGACCACATCATCCGCAAAAAGCAGAGACGAGATTGTCCTGCCACCAAATTCGACACACTCCACACCACGGCTTTGCCTAGAAATTCTGTCCATAAAGGTAATGAACAGAACCGGTGACAAAGGGCAGCCCTGGCGGAGTCCAACCCTCACCAGGAACAGGTCCGACTTACTACCGGCTATGCGGACCAAACTCACGCTCCTCTGGTAAAGGCCCTTAACAGAAAGCCACCCACCCCATACTCCTGGAGCGTCCCCCACAGGGTGCCCCTGGGGACATGGTCATAAGCCTTCTCCAAATCCACAAAACACATGTGGATTGGTTGGGCGAACTCCCATGCCCCCTCCATCACCCTTGCAAGGGTATAGAGCTGGTCCACAGTTCCACGGCCAGGACAAAAACCAATCTGAGATTCAACTATCGATTGGACCCTCATCTCCAGTACCTTGGAGTAGACCTTTCTAGGGAGGCTGAGGAGTGTGATCCCCTATAGTTGGAACACACCCTCAGGTCACCACCCCGGTCTGCCACTCCACAGGAACTGCCCCCGATGACCACGCAATGTTGCAGAGACGTGTCAACCACGACAGCCCTACAACATCCATAGCCTTGAGATACCAGGATGAAGTTCATCCACCCCCGGGGCTCCACCGCTGTGTAGTTTTTTTGACTACCTCAGCAACTTCTGCCCCCGAGATTGGACAGTCCATCCCCAGGTCTCCCGGCTCTGGTTCCTCCTCGGAATGCGCGTAGGTGGGATTGAGGAGCTCCTCAAAGTATTCCTTCCACCGTCCGACTATAGCCCCAGTTGACGTCAGCATCTCCCCATCCCCACTGTAAACAGTGTGAGCGAGTTGCTGCCTTCCTCTCCTGAGGCGCGGGACAGTTTGCCAGAACCTTTTTGGAGCCGATCGATAGTCTTTCTCCATGGCCTCACCAAACTCCTCCCATGCCCGAGATTTTGCCTCGGCAACGGCCACAGCTGCACCCCGCTTGGCTATCCGGTACCTGTCTGCCGCCTCCGGAGACCCACAGACCAGCCACGCCCTGTAGGCCTCCTTCTTCAGCCTGACGGCTCCCCGAACCTCTGGTGTCCACCAGCGAGTACGGGGGTTGCCACCACGACTGGCACCGGCCACCTTGCGACCACAGCTAGTGACAGCCACTTCAACAATCGCAGAGTGGAACAAGGCTCACTCGGAGTCAATGTCCCCCACTGCTCTCGGGACGCGGTCAAAGCTCTGCCGGAGGTGGGAGTTGAAGACTGTCTTGACAGGTTCTTCTGCCAGGCGTTCCCAGCAGACCCTCACTATGCTTTTGGGTCTGCCAGGTCCACGCGGCATCTTCCCCTGCCATCTGATCCAACTCACCACCAGGTGGTGATCAGTTGACAGCTCCGCTCCTCTCTTCACTCGGGTGTCCAAAACATAAGGCCGCAGGTCAGATAGTATGACTACAAAGTCTATCATCGACCTGCGACCTAGGCTGCCCTGGTTCCAAGTGTACCGATGGGCATCCTTATGTTCGAACATGGTATTCGTTATGGCCAAACTGCGGCTTGCACAGAAGTCCAATAACGAAACACCACTCGAGTTCAGATCAGGCGGGCCATTCCTCCCAATCACACCCCTCCAGGTCATGCCGTCATTGCCCACGTGTGCATTGAAGTCCCCCAGCAGGACAATGGAGTCCCCTGATGGAGCACTATCTTGCACTCGTCCCAGGGACTCCAAAAAGGGTGGGTACTCTGAACTGATATTTGGCCCATAAGCACAAACAAAAGTCAGGACCCGTTCCCCGACCCGAAGGTGCTGGGAAGCTACCCTCTCATCCCCTGGGGTAAACCCCAACACACAGGCAGAGATTCTTGGGGCTAACAAAAAGCCAACCCCAGCCCTCCGCCTCTCGTCCTGTGAGGTACGATTCAAACCAGGCGTGTGCTTTCTCTGTGATGCCCATGCTAGAGAGTGTGGACAAAAGGAAGCCATGGTTGACAGTGTCAAATGCAGCCGATAAGTCGAGCAGGATAAGCACTGAGGATTTGGCAGTCGCTCTAGCTTCTTTTAAGGATTCCGTCACTGCTAACAGAGCAGTTTCAGTGGAGTGGCCCTTTTTGAACCCAGATTGGTAAGGGTCAAGCAGACAGTTTTGTGAGAGGTATTCTGTGATCTGCTTGAAAGCCACCCTTACAATGATTTTGGACAGAAAAGGGACTTTCCATAGTTTCCACGGGACCGGATCAGGAGTTCTGGTACTGACATGTTGTGACCGGATCAGGAGTTCTGGTACTGACATGTTGGGACCGGGTCGGGAGTTCTGGTACTGACATGTTGGGACCGGGTCGGGAGTTCTGGTACTGACACGTTAGGACCGGGTTGGGAGTTCTGGTACTGACACGTTGGGACCGGGTCAGGAGTTCTGGTACTGACACATTTGGGACCGGGTAGGAAGTTCTGGTACTGACACGTTGGGACCGGATCAGGAGTTCTGGTACTGACACGTTGGGACCGGATCGGGAGTTCTGGTACTGACACGTTGGGACCGGGTCGGGAGTTCTGGTACTGACACGTTGGGACCGGGTCGGGAGTTCTGGTACTGACACGTTGGGACCGGATCAGGAGTTCTGGCACTAGGAAAAGACGGATGAACAAGTTGAGGTGAGTTTGGGAGTCAGAGACACTAATCGGAGGCTGGAGAACAGCTAATAGTGGGCGGGGTCTGAACATGTGCAGCTTCCTTGTGTCGGACATGATGACGAACTGACACATTTTATGTGTCTATTGATTTAATTGTTTTTTATTCAAACTAACAAGTACAGCAACGGTGTAGCTATTCTTTTCTGTTTCTTTGTTGAATTATCAAACTCCATGCTTCCAGAGTGCACTGCTGCCCTCTGCTGGTTCTTTCAGGTTACAGTCATAGTACAAACGGTAACGTGGAGCTCGTATGTCCCTAAACAGCTACTGTACTTTAACATGGTGGATGACCATGGAGTGTCGAACACAGTTTATGTATATAAAAATGTAACATTTCAAGTTGAGAGGAATATTTAGAATTGATGTTGGTGAGAAACATTAGTGAAAAATGACACGTTTGTGAACTGGAAACACAGGATTTATACTAAACAGGTTAAAATATCACACACTGGGCCTTTAACTCCATTTCAGAATAAGGCATTAACACAAAAAAATGTAGAAAGAGATAAACAAGCAGATGTCCTGCTCTGTTAAGTAGTGCCTTTAATGTACTCATTTACTTCTGAAAGAAGTCCTTCAGGTCCTGCAGCAAGCTGGCTTTGGAAGGCCCCAGGTTCCTGATTAAGATCTTGGGACGAGGGAGACAAATCTCCAGTAATGTTACAGTTGTATAGCTGAGGGAGCAAGAAGGTCACAAATGATTTGTTTTGGTTGATGTAAACCTCTAAGATGGATGTTTGCTGTAAGGTGAACCGACCTAAAGGAGGCCACCATCTGGTTGTAGGAGAAGTATTGATGATAGTCCTTGTGGATGGAGTGTCCACAGGGCTCTGCGTTAGCCCGTCTACTGTACTGGTGGCCATAGAATCGAAGCTCCAGATATTTGGCAAAAGACATGGACCAAGAGTCATTAGACAGAGGCACCACTGGAGTCACCTGCAGGAGAAAGTACAGAGGGTTAAATATGCATGATAAGAATGTCCAGTCTTACTAAGACCTGAAGGCCTTCCTGAGTGCACAACTAGCACTCTGGTCTTCTGTAGCGGTATTATTGGAAATCCTCTCTTGGGAGCCTGTGAAGCATAATCATAACCCAAGTAGGTGACAGCCTTTCACAGCTGGCTGAGTGATCAAGAGTAGCTGTTCAGATATGAGTTTTCAGAAGAAATTCCAGTCCAATTGAAGGAATTTGCAAAGATCATGCATAAAGTATGTATGCACATTAAATTCTTAAGTTTGTCAAGCACATTCCAGATGGCCAAGTAATTTCCACACAGTGGTGGACTGGCCATTATAAGCATCAGGACATTTTCCAGTGGCCTGACTACTGATCTGGTCTGCTTGGGAATTGCTGACAGCACCACCTAGTGCTCAGAGATTTCCTTTTGGAGAGTAGAGATGCTAACAAAAACAACTTTTGATGATTAACTACCTCTTGCTTTAATAACAGCCTTGAGTCTACAGATACTTCTCTATCAACTTTACACATCTAGATTGAGACACATTTGCCCACTCTTCAGGGAAACTGGATGGTAGGCGTTGGCAGACTGCAATCTTCAAATCTCTTCACAGATTTTCAGTGGGATTAGGTCTGGACGACCACATGTTTAAAGAGCATTTTGCAGGTTTGAGCCTCCCTTGAACAAATGTTCAAAGAAACACAATTCAATTCAAAATTCAAAGATACTTAATTAATCCCAGAGGGAAATTAGAGTCACATAACAGAAACTAAGGTGATTAGCTTGATTCAGAGATAAATATGGATTCTAATGCTGGTAAATGTTTATAATGGTGGATCACAGCCATACAGTTATGAGCCTGCTGCACGCCCCAGAGAGCAGAGGCAAGCAGGAGGGAGAAACTAGATTACTGCAATTACTTGTACAATGGATTAGGGCATTCATCCTTAAACCGCTTGCAACTGGTTCAAAATGCAGCAGCCTGCCTTTTAACAGGTACAAGGAAGCATGATCACCTCTCCAGTGCTTGCTTCCCTTCACTGGCTGCCAGTGCATTACAGGATTCAGTTTAAATTGTTGCTTTTTGTTTATAAATCACTTTATGGTCTGGCCCCTCCTTATATAGATGATTTATTGTCACCCTACAATCCTACCAGGAATTTGCGGTCGGGCTCACAGTTTTTATTATCAATTCCAAAGGCTCGCATAAAGACGAGAGGAGATGGGGCTTTTTCTGTGGCCGGTCCTACACTCTGGAACAGTCTTCCTCTGCAGATCAGGACCTCACAAAGTCTGGATGTTTCTAAGTCCTTGCTTAAAACTCATTTATTCAACCTGGCTTTTATGTAGGATGATTTTATTTTGTCATTGTCATTCTTTCTCACACAGAGCTGCAGAAATAGGAGACGGATTAAAGAAGCGACAGAGATAAGAAGACATGGACATGATATGTCACAATGTCAAGACTCCTTTTATAAAAGGCTCAATAATATGTATTAATTCGGTGCCGTCTACTTCCCTTTCCCATCTGATATTTATAGTTAAATATTTTAATTAAAAATGGACCTACATTTCAGTAACACTTTAGGTTAGTATTAATATCACTCATCCCACTGAAAAGAACATCTAAGTCGAACTATGATCAGTAGAATTTCATTAACATGTTCAGAAGGACAGGAAATGCTAGTAACATCTCACTTCTCCAGGTAACAGTTAATGGTGACTTATCTATTTTATTAAGTACAGGATGGCAATAATCCTGTATGTTCAAAGGTAGATGCATTTGTGAATTACATACTACAACGGAGACTCGTCAGGTATGCGATTTTTCATCCATTTGTAGAGTTTAGTCAACCTTTCACGGTCATCGTTTTTCCAAAACCCCACTTGATTGTGAGCGTACTACCTGCTGGCATTAACATTAGTCAATCTGCCTGTAGTTACACTTTTGATGCCTAACGTTTGAGTGTTTCTGCCTTTTACAATGGTTTAGGGCTGAAACAAATCATTGGATGATTCGATTCATTAAATTCCTCGATTAATTTTTTTAATTATTTGAAGCTTCGTTAAATGTGCGCTCCACAGTCTGATCACATTTTACTGGAGCACCATGTTGTGATCTAGGTGTTGTGGAGGAAAATACAGAAATCACTGTAAAAGGCAGACACGGTCCAAAGTTTGGGATCAAGAGTTAAACTACGAGCAGAATTGCTAGAGCTAAGCTAGCGGGTAGCATTCTCACGAGCTAGTGTGTTTAAGAAAAAAGGTGATGGTTGTGAACGACTAAGCTCCACAAGCGGAAGAAAAATCCCCACCATCCCGTTTATTTGTGGATCTCTGCAGCGGTGTGGGGCAGAGCCGCTGCAGCTACCGTCTGGTGGTTGCAGAAGTGTATGGCAAGACGTTGTAGCATGTAACTCACTAACACTTTTATATTTCAGTACAATTTAGACAAGATTATGTTGCCAACCCCCGTACATAATAAGTAAGTATACCACAAGTAGATTGTTACAAGTAGAAATTAAATGTTAGCATTTCTAGTAGCTTACTACTGAACACATTAATGAAATAATTAAATACTACTCATTATATGTGAAAACTTTTAGATATGTTATTTTGACTAGGATGACGTCAATACAAACCTAAATTGTGGATGAAATGCAAGTCAAATGTTGTTCCTTAAAATATTTATTAACTATAAATATCAGCTGGGAAAGAGGGAACTAGACAACACCAATTTCATATATATTATTGAGCCTTTTATCATTTTGCTTTTTATTTTCATATTTTTAGCTGCAGACCATAATCTTGTTTCACTTGAAACGTCGTCAAATAGAACACTTGATTAATCGATGGAAGACTGGATAGAACACTCGAGTACTAAAAAATCCAATAGCTGCAGCCCTACAATGGTTGGTGTTCTTGCTGGCTTCTCTATTTCCCTTCACAGCACCTAGTTTACATCAATGTGCACATGTAAAATGCAAACTCTTTACACAAATAAGTCAATTACCCATTATTCAATAAAGTTCTGGGGGAAAAGTAACTTGGGAAGGTGTCGCACGAGTGCCACGTCTAAAAATAGTTTATCGCACCGAGTTTTACTGCTCACAAGAAGAAGGAGAAGAAGAAAATATCATTTTTATAGCGCCTCTCAAGATGAAAATCATGAGGCGCGACTTATGTTGCACTGTACAACCCTGGAGAAAGTTGAAAGTCAGAGAAACCAGTTTAAAACATTTTGCTGTATTTGGAGGGCGTAGCTGTTGAACAAAGATTTCGATTCCAGACCTGCATAATTATAAGAATCAGTTCTGGATTACATCTCAATCTGTGTGTGTGTGTATGAAACCAAGCTGAAAGGCCAGAGATCTGCTGTTTGTGACCTGTGACCAGTGACCTGGCTGGAGACTCATAACCAGTGCTGTCGTAAATAATGGATGTGCCTTCACTACTCTGCTATGGTTAGATAATGAATGTTGTAGATATAACCTGTAATGACATGTAGTAAGTTGTCTTTATCCTCTGTGGATTTAGTCCAGAATGCTATAAAGATACAGAGGAGACATCTAGTCTGGGTAATGTTTATAGCTGACTTAGCAGACCCCTGGGTTGGAGAAGAAAAGGGAGGGGGACACACCTCCCCCTGCTGACTGATGACTACAAAGAAGAGATGAAGTAATCCCTAAGGACACCAAGACGAGCTGGCAAGAGACGCTGGGAGGAGCGAGGTCATGTTACCAGTGGACGGTCAGTGTGCTTCATGAAACAGGAAGAATTACCATGGAGACGAACAGGAGACAAGGAGGGGGAAGCTGAGAGATAAAAGGGGGGACCCGAGAGGAACCGGGAGTTCTGTTGAGTTCGGTTGAGCTCTGTTTGATTTGGATTTTGAGTGTCTTTACCCGCTGTGTCGGGGTGATTCTGTCTGGATGAATCTTTATTCATATTTTTTTAATAAAAACCTTGGTTTCTTATTGTGAGAAACTAAAAGGACAACTTTGTCTGGGGCCTCCGTTGTTGTCGGGTAACCGGAAAAGGAGAGGAGCTGGTTACATCATATCCCACTTCAAGGTGTTTATACGAGTCATTTTAAAGTCTTTAACCTGAGCATAGATAAGCCACAGGTGACTGAAGGTGTGTTTGCGTTTGAACTGAGTCTTCCTTTGAGCTGCAAGCAGTTTGTGTTGCCAGAATCAGTGTCTAGGTTAGTGGTGATTGCTAATTAGCTCCTATAGTGTGCAGACAGTTTAAAGAGCGGCTGAATATCACGCCCACGCACAAATAGAAATACAAGTCAACCCTGAGACGTAACATCTGTTAAAGAGTTAGGCTAGCTTGGGAAGATGACTTGTAACAGTAGCCCACTCAGAATCAGAGGAGCTGGGCCTAACACAAAAACAGACAACTAAAAGTTAGTGTTAACTCAAAGTGGATTATAAGGAAAGCTAGATTTAAAAAGAGTCAATAATCAACCACCACAGCCAGACAGTTAAACATTAGGCTAGATAACACCTTCACATGGTCCCTGTTTGCGTTTAGGACGTTCCTGTGTTTAAAAGAACAGATGATCACAACCTGAACAAACCTGATCTACCTGCAGCTCACCTGTTTGCAGATTCGACACCAGGAGTAGTTAAGTATCGTGTGCTGGTACCCAGGCACAGGGGAGTCCAACTCTTTCAACACGATTTGCACACAGCCGCTGCTGTGCACAAAGCGGCGGATGTGGTGCACCATGGGAGTTTCACAGAAAATGCTGGGGCACTGGTATGATGACCTGGCGAACAAACACTCCGTCGTCAACTCAGATCATCAAAGGTGTTGTAGTTGGATTAGAAGGTGTCTCACCTGAAACAGTAGCGCTCCAGAAACACACCCAGAGAGAGGTCATTCTTACCATAAAACTCCATGGTGACAATCCTGTTCGCAACACACACGAGTATAAACCAGTGACTTTGCTTTCTAATCTTCATGTGCGAGCACTTTACCATGGACTGACACAGGGGTTGGGTGCATTGTTGGACTGAAGAGATGAACTGCTGAAGAGAACGCAGAGCCTCTGGTGGTTGATGGGGTTCAAGCAGTCAAGCTAAAAACACACATCAAAAACATCAGTTTTTCACTCTAAACAAAACATGCTTACATCACTCTGCTGCAACTTTAGCCCTTCTTACAAGACACACCGTGCCGGCAGAGCAGCGTAATATTACCACAACGGTGTGTCTTATGGATGTACTGTGCCAGCATGGCGATGCGCAAATTTTACGGCACTCGTTCCGCTTTGCTTGGTAGTAATATTGTGATAATTGTCTTATAAACGGCGATTACACCTTGGCGCAACAGAGGGAAGTATTATGATCATGTAAGAAACTCTGGCCAGCAGATATAATGAAAATTTAAGTAAACACGGACAATACGTTTCACTTTTGTAAACAGAACCAGTTGAGATGTTAAACTGAAGTGATGTAGTGCTCCTGGAGCTTCTCCCCATTAGAGCTGGAGCTCAGATCACCAGCGACTGAACGGGGACTGTGAAGGACAGACGCCTTTAAGAGCGGCTTGTTAAAAAATAAACGTAATGAGTGCGGTGTAAGGTGATGAAGGAGCCATTCCTCAAGGTTATTTATCCTCTAACCACAGTTCCCTTTGACACAGCGCTAGAGTGCATGAAACAGCCTCAAGGTCATGCATTCGCTTCTGAACTGTTTACTTTCCAGTAGGGTTGTCACGATACTAAAATTTCAAACTCGATTCGATACTTGAAAAAAAACTCGATACTCGATTTCGATACTATTTAAAAACACCCATTTATCGAACAAGTTTATTCAAAAAATAACATTCCTCAATTTATATTACAAAACTTAAATGTTAAGAATTAAGTGTATTAAGTGCTTAAACCTTTCAAGTATCAGCATTTTTTAAAACGTGCATACAAAAACTGGTGAAAGTTAACACTTTAAATCATGAATTGTCTCACTATATATACACTATTTGCAGAGTGATGTTTTGCTGCTTAAACTCTGTTTAAGGTGCATTTTTGTCATAAGATGTAATACCATATGTTTTGTTCTGTACTTTTGAACAACTCTGTTGGTCAATAAAGGGAGAAAACGAATTTCTCCACAGTAGGACAAAGGTACATCTACCGGTAGTCTTAATAAAAACAGATTGGCGCACGGCAGTGACGTCATTAAAAGCGCCGGTTAGATTAGCCGCAGCTAGTCTGTTCACGCCTAGAAATCCCAGACCAGACCCGCTCCAAACGAACAGGGGAATCACGTTAATGATTCCTAACAAAACCTTTCGACATGAAGATGTTTTGGTGCAGATAATGTCTTATTTCGAGGCTGCACCATGGGCGCCCGTCCGCACCCGTTATATGGATATACACTGACGGCGATTCGCCGATGGATCTAAATACCCCGGGGAATCCAAGTAGCACCAAAGTTGTCAGCGTGAGTAAACAAACGTACTGCATGCTAGAAATTAAGTCCGGGTTGCAATAAACAGGAGTTTCCTTTAAGCACATAAGCGTGAATATACAACTACGTGTCGGACTTGGTATGCTAATTAAGTTGGGCTGTGAAGCGCCTCCCAAATTCGCTGTTTATGTTTTTGTTTATTTATTTGGCAGACAAAACTTGGATCGGAGACAACTCGCGTGGGAAATTGCAATGTAGCCATGCGGCGTCTTCTTCTGTTTGTCTGGGAGGCGAAGGTTGCTTTACGGCATCTGGCTGTCGTGCGTGTCGGTGTACTTGAAGAAGGCTGTGTATAATAGTCCATAATATCGATACCACAGGGATGGAATATCTCATTTAGATACCACTTTTAGTATCGATTTATATCTGGGTATCGATTTTTTTGACAACACTACTTTCCAGCAATGAAGACAGAAGATGAAGACTCTTTTCTTTTATTAAATCAAAGAACTCTATTTTCAATCAAGCTAATCAAAACAACTGTTAGTCAATATTACAATGTGACCAATCGGTGAAATCACAATATTATGATTAATATGTTTTAAATAAGTAAATGACTTATTCTAGTCACTACACGCTGATACACTAAGGTAAATAATCACATGACACATTGCTGTTGCTGATCCAATCAGAACCTTCAAGTCTGAAGCATGGCAGAGTCTCTGAGGTGTTCATTAAATCTGTCAGCTTTGATTCGTCCAGAATCAAAAATATCCAGATTAATAAAACAGCTCCAAAGCCATTTTAAGTTCAGTATTCAACAGTATTCAATATCCCATGAAGTTCACCGCATGTTAAGTGAAGTATGGAAAGGCCATCTGTACTTTTATTTCCAAGCTGAGAACCATTCAAGCTGGGAAAATTTCGTTGTTATCAACCAACAACGGTTCCTTCAGAATAAAAGCTGAACTCGCTGACCCAAGGAGGGTCCTCTTTTTGACGCTGTGAAACACCTGTCGCTTTTTACCTGGAGACAATCCAAGGACTAGTCTGTCGTGCTGTGACGGTGTACCATTGGCTCCAGTACCGGAAGGAAGGTCCGAGGACCTGGGCATTCTGGATCCATCGTGGAGGTCTCACTGAGGGTATGTGGATGCGACAAACTGGCGTCTCATGTGTTTATGACCATAGGTCTCAAACTTTGACCAGTTAGGAGCAAAACATCATCTCCCACTCAAACTTTGCTTCTCCGGATGCGGAGGTCCTGAATTTGACACCATTCACAAACACCAACCACCTCACACTTCATTCCAACAGAACATCTATCATTAGAGAGTTAGTCTTGTTAAACTGTTTAAAATTATTTAGTAATAAATTTCCTTAAACGTTTGAAAGTCGCTCTCTCTTCTCTTGTCTTTCAGTTAATGCAAAGTGTTATTTAAAATCCCTGTGATAAAAAGATCCAATCTTATGATTTATATAACCCAGTGTCCGTAAGATGAGATTCATACTAGATATGAATTTTTAATGTCTTATGGTCCTTAATTAAATGTAATTCTAATCCATTACAGCGGCTTCAGTTGCAATAAAAAGCAAGTTATGCCCAAAATAAACAGAAGTCAGTGGCAGCGCAGAAGAAACGAAGAAGAAGAAAAGATCTTTTCTATAGCGCCTCTCAAGATAAAAATCACGAGGCGCTTCACAAAAACAAAAGATGTAAAAATATAAAAAAGAATTTAGAAAATGATTAAAATATTTATTTAAAATGAGCAAAAAATAGACAATTGTGATTTTAAAAAATGTAAAGAAAGAGAGAGAGTGAACAGGAAAGAGGGAAATCAGTGGATCCTGAGGAAGGTGGAATAGGTGGGGAGAGCAGAATAAAGAGAGAGTGGTAAAGAAGGTCATACAAAAGCCAGCTTGAACAGGTGAGTCTTCAGCTGCTTTTTAAAGGAGATCACTGAGTCCACTGATCTCAGGCTCAGGGGGACAGAGTTCCAGAGTCTGGGGGCCACAGCAGCAAATGATCTGTCACCTTTGGTCTTTAGCCTGGTGCTGCACAACCAGTAGGCTTTGATCACTGGACCTCAGGGACCTGCTGGGGGTTTAGGGACTAAGAAGATCACCAATGTAAGATGGTGCTTGTCCATGTAAGGCCCTATAGACCAGAACCAGGATCTTGAAATGAACCCTGAAGTTGACTGGCAGCCAGTGAAGCTGGAGGAGAAGCGGGGTGATGTGGGTGTGTTTGGAGGACTTGGTCAGAAGCCGAGCACAGGCATTCTGAACCACCTGTAGACGGTCCAGGGAGGTTCTGCTCAGACACGTGAAAAGAGAGTTACAGTAGTCTAAGCGTGAGGAGATGAAGGTGTGGAGAACAGTCTCAAGTTCAGAGCGGGACAGAATGGGACTCAGCTTAGCAATGTTCCTGAGATGGAAGAAGGAAGAGCGCACAAGAGGACTGACATGAGAATCCAGGGTGAGAGCTGGGTCAAAGGTCACGCCAAGATTCCTGGCAGAGGGTTTGGTGTGAGAAGCAAGCTGACCAAGAGAGTCTCTGACTTTGGGAACCAGCTTGTCTGGGGCACAGATGAGGATCTCAGTCTTATCTTCATTCAGCTGTAGAAAGCTCCTAGCCATCCAGGTTTTAATAGAGTCTAAGCAGGTTTGTAACAGCTGCAGCTTAGACATCTCATGGGGCTTAAAGGAGATGTACAGTTGAATGTCATCTGTTTAAAGATGGTAGGAGATTCCTTTGAAGGAGCTCAGGATGTGCTGAAGAGGAAGCAGATAGAGGAGGAAGAGTAGAGGCCCCACAAGGTTCTGTGCTGCAGCTGTTACAAACCTGCTTAGACTCTATTAAAACCTGGATGGCTGGGAGCTTTCTACAGCTGAATGAAGATAAGACTGAGATCCTCATCTGTGCCCCAGACAAGCTGGTCTGGGGCACCCCATGGGTAAGGGAGGTGGTGGAGGACCTAAACTTGGAGACGGCCACAGAAAAGGAGTGCTCAGAGAGATAAGAGGAGAAACACTCCAGAGCAGATCCTGATAGGCCTACCCAGTCTCTCGGCCTCTCCAGTAACAGGTGATGGTCAACAGTGTCAAAGGCTGCAGTCAGGTCCAGCAGGACCAGAAAAGAACAGTCCCCTGCATCACTGAGAGTCAGAAGGTCATTAGAGACCCTAAGAAGAGCTGTTTCAGTAGAATGAGCTCTACGAAAACCTGTCTGGAAGCTATCATAGATGTTATGTTCATCAAGAGCAGCTGTGAGTTGTTTAGCCACAACCTTTTCCAAGATCTTGGAGATGAACGGAAGTTTAGAGATGGGTCTGAAGCTGCTATGGAGAGAAACGTCAAGACTCGGTTTTCTAAGAAGCGGGTGGATTACAGCGTTCTTAAAGTAAGCAGGGACCTGACCAGAAACCAGAGTGTCATGAGCCGGGGTGAGTTTCTGGTTGCAGGAGAGGGAGCAACAGCTGATCCTCATCAGCGGGCCGGCTTTATAAGGAGGAGGGTGATCATGCTGTGACGCCGGATGATTGCTACTAACTGGTAGTATCTAGCCCTTCGAGTTTCGCTGGCCTTTCGATTCGTTTTGTGCTTGGTTTTTTGATGATACACTTAATGTGGATAATTCTGGATCCTTACCTCAGGTTGCTGCATC